AATGATATTCGTAGGTACTGCACAGACCAAAGCACGTGAGTTTGATAGATTATCTGGAGGGCGACGGCCTCCAAGTTATGGACAACTGGCCAAAATTTGGACACACTCTTCTCTCGCACGTCGCCAACATGTTTAACTTCACGTAATTGATTATGATACATCTAAATATCTCTGCATATACTGTGTAACAATTGCTCAACGAATGTTTTTGCACGTAGCATGGACCTCATCGAAATCAACCACTGGGAGAAGAACGACAGTAACGGTCCTCTGATGAGCACCTTGAAGAGGGACGATGCCGATTTGGGCTACTATCCGTCTATCCTGACAATCGAAAGATACGGATATGCGCGTGTCATTTTTCAACAATGGCCCACGCGGTAAGCAACACCCTATGGAGAAAATGTGTGCATGTATAAATAAAATATAACAAATGTAGTGATGTAAAATAATGTTTTCTCTTGTTTGATACGCGAGTAATTTTTCATTCAGTACCTGTTTCATGTTTCGTACCATACCGGCGACGAAGATGAAACCTTGGATAATACTAAAGCCGTTCGCAGCGGACACGTGGTACATGATTATCGCGATGTTGGTGGTCGCAATTCTCATTCTGTCCTGCATACTGAAACTGGAACGTGCCAACGATTACGGCTGTAGCATTTCGGCATTGATCACCGTTGCCGCATTATGCCAGCAAGGTACTTACGATCATGACGATACGACGACAACGGAGATATATTGCGTTCTTCTGTTATCATAATATCGATCAGGTTTTCCTTCTCTCTCTGATCAATCGGCGAGTCGAATCGCCCTCATTCATATCACGATCTTCGGCCTGTTGGTATATAATTACTACGGGGCGGCGATAGTATCGGCTAGATTCAACGATCCCCTTCAAAAGATGAATGACTCGCTGTATTCGCTGGCGCATAGTAAGATGCAGCTCGCGGCCGAGAAAAATGTCTTTTTCGATTTTCTGCTGCGGGTAAAAGCGCGTTCCAAAATAGTAGTTCAATATTTTTTAGCTTAATCGCTCTCTGATAAGCTTCTATTTTTGCTAGAACCAAAGACCGGATGTGCAATATTTTAAGCCCTATTGGAACGCTGTACCGGAATGGAAGAGATTTATTCCGATCGAGGATGGCGTGGAGGGAATAAAGAAGGGAGGCTTCGCTTATCACGCGGATCCGGACGATATCTATCCATCTATCGAAGTCGCGTTCGATAAGCAGATGATATGTCAGCTAACGGAAGTTCATCTATTGCAACCCTCCGAGTTGGGCCTGTGGTGCAATCTTAAAAGTCACTTTCACGAAATCTCCAAAATAGCGTGAGTACATCATTATTGTGTACATGTTGAATGCTGCAATTTTCAGCCTACAAAATAAATATTAGGTCAATATTATTTAATATAGATTACTGAGGATATCTACGTCGGGACTTCGGCGACGAGAGATACGTCGCCGGTCGGCCAGAAGGCCTTATTGCCCAAGCAACGAGATCTTTGTCTCTAGTGTGACAATCTACGAAGCGGCGCCGATTTTGATTCTTCTGTTCTTTGGCGTGATAATTTCACTTATCGTATTTAGTATCGAGCACTTTGTTTTCTACATGATGAATTCAAAACGAACGTCAGGTATTACACGAGGTATTGTACCAAACATTAAATCAGACATTAAACCAACCATTAAACCAGGTATGAGACAAGGTATTAAACCAGACGTTAAAAAAGGCATTAAAATTAATAAGAAAAATAAGATATTGCTAAAAGATAAAGCACCACCTACGAATAACGTTATTCTGGTGCTTCCAGAAGCAAGTCGTCTCTTCCAACAGGTGCTGATGTCGAAACGATACCAGTAAAGGATATGAAAATAGGTACTGATAATAATGGGATTCTCAATTGTTACGTAAATTATTTACCTGATCATCATTACATATAGCGAATAAACGCATTTAAATAAAGTACAAATGTCTTCACGATTCTCCTCTTCTAAGTCCCGATACACAACGCGCGAGTGGGGTAAAATAAACGTATAAAATAAAGCGCATGTGTATTTCTTATTGTTAGTCGAATACTCTTATTAGTTAAATAACTACATGAATAACGTAATAGATGAAAAAAATCTCATCGTTCTATTACGAAGGAAGTGTAGTTACTTTTTCTTCTTGGATTTCTTGTCGACGACAACTGGCGCTGTTCCAGTGAGATCTGCTAAACGCTGTTTCAGTTTCACCAATATCTCCACTTGTGGCTTCCACACACTTCCGTCTTCCTTAGCCTTTAACTCCCGCACAAGATTGCCCTAAAATTGCGACGTAATGTAGCAAATTGAAACGCTAAATTACTAAGAAAAATAGTACCCTTATGTGATATTCAATACCTGCTTTGCGATAGCAGATTCTAATGCCGCCACGTCTGTTGGAGCATTTTGTTCCCCATTTTGTTCCGGCACGTGCTTCGGTTCGGCCTTCTTATTTTTCGGGGGTGATTTTTTTTCAGGCGCGTTCGTATTACTTTTGAGATCAATTAGCTTCTTTTTCAGATCTAACAAAATTTCTACTTGCGGTTGCCAAACGCTTTTGTCATGTTTAGCTTTCAGTTCTCTTACTAGATTGCCCTAAAAAATACATAAAATTGTTTAAAGGAGATGATTCTCGCATCAATATAACAGAAAAAAAGATACTAAACCTGTTTTGTAATAGCAGCTTCTAATGAGGCGACAATTTCGTCGGAGCTTTTAGCCGCTGCTTGGCCATTATTTTCCTGCTGGCCAGCGTATTTCTTGCGTAACATTTCTACCTTTTGATCTTCAATCTTAGTGAATAGCGGACTGGGCTTGCCGATTTTGTGCCACGTAGGTAACATATTTGTTATCGTTTCAGGAATGTAGCCGTAAGTTTTGTTACTCAAACCTAATTGAGATCTCAATTGTTTGGTTGTACTGGGCATAAAGGGAGCCAAAAGGGCTGACAGAAGGCAGGCTAAATTGCAACAAATTGCAACGACAGTTCCGGCCCTTTTCCTGTTGGTTTCAAATAAAAATATTACTCAAAAAGGACGAACCGACGAGAAAGCGGTTAGAATAAATAAAATTGCTTATACTTGTCGTCGTCGTTTCCCTTGATTTTCACCCAAGGCTGTTGAAATTGCATGTACTGATTGCCGTGCTTCGAAATCGCCAATATGTGTCTTAAGCCATCTCTGAACTTGGCTTGTTCCATGGCGTTTACGTAAGACGACAGTTCGCGTTGCGCCAACGCTAATAGGGTCCAGTCAGCCTCTTCCGGCTCTATCGGTGGTACATTAGAGTCGAAGAACTTTTCAGAGAATACCAGAGCTCTAGCCGTAATAAGTTTTTGGGACTGTTAATAACATCGCGACGTTAATTACTGATGGCTTACAAAGAAATGTGGTAGCTACAAACCTGTTGACAAAATTCCCAAGATTATTTAGTAACTCGCTATTGTTTTTCGTGGCTAAATCCACCCAATTAAAAGTTGAATCTTGAGTTTCGGGCCTGATAAAGGCCAAATAAAATCGCCACACATCAGCTGGAATGCCGGTATCTCTGGCATCGGTTCCAAACACTCCGATGCCCCGAGACTTGGAAAATTTTTTATCTTCATAATTTAAATATTCTGAAACGAAATAATTGTTAAATCTACAAGAAAATCGACGAAAAGATTGCGTGTGAACAAATAAAACAAAAAAAAGATTCGAAAGAAAAAAAGATGTTTAGATAAGTATACAAAGACATAGTCATAAAGTAAATGCATCCGACAAATATGCACTCTTTGGAGATATCATACCGGTTGCCATTATATATTTCATCAACGTGTAATTTTGATCAGCTGCTAGTAAACAAGCGGGGAACATTATCACGTGGAACGGAACGTTATCCTTTGCCATAAATTGGCACAAATCGATTTTCGTATCCTGAGGAGGTTGCCACCATTTCTTATATTCTTTGGTATACCTCTTTGTAATACTGATATATCCGAAAGGGGCGTCAAACCAGACGTAAAACACCTTATTTTCGAAACCCTCTACCGGAACCGGGATGCCCCACTTCAAATCTCTGGTTATACAACGCGGCTTAAGACCGTCGCGTAACCACGCTTTTGAAACCACTCTGGCGACGTTGGACCATCCCTTTTCCACGGTAGCTGAATATTTCTTTAGTTCCTGTTCTAGCTGCAACACGGAAGAGCTATGAATATAATCCGCATTCTACTGGAAACGCATTAACGGAGCGTCACGATGCAAATCTTACCTTGGGTAAATCCAAGAAGAATTGTACCGAGTTTTTCACGACAGGTCTATTGTTACACATCTTACATCGAGGATTTATTAACTCGACCGCGTTCACGAGATGACCGCAACCATCGCATTGGTCACCGCGCGCGTCTTCGTACTTGCATCCGGGACATATGCCCTCCACGAACCTATCGGCGAGAAACCGATCGCAGGATTCGCAATGGAGTTGTTCCACGGTCTCGGTAAAAATATAGCCTTGCGATTTAATTTTCAGGAAAAACGCTTGAACGATTCTGAAAGATATTGTAACAAAGATAAACGTATTTAATGTAAATATAACAATAAAAGATAAAAGAACGATGAAAATAAAACGTGACGCAATCTTACTCTGTTTGCTCAGGTGTAGTAGTGCGGCCGAAATAGTCGAATCCGATGCCGAACCAGCGGTAAACGTCGTTGTGGATGTCGAAGAATTTATCACAAATAGCTTGAGGAGTAGTTTTCTCTTGCAAAGCTTTTGCTTCAGTCGCGGTGCCGTATTCGTCGGTTCCACTAAAATTTAAATTATTTAAGTTGGAACGTCGCTTTTCTCACGTATGTTGCAAGAAAAAACATAATTACCTTATGTAGAGGGTGTTGTAGTTTCTTTGCCTGCAATACCTGCGCAAATCAAGAAAGTTCAATATTATATTAAGTTACAAGATACTATACTTATTGATATTTAAGTGTACCTACAAACCTTGCAAAGATATCAGCTGAAAGAACGCAACCAATAATATTTCCCAGATGCGGAACATTATTGACATAAGGAAGAGCCGATGTTATCAATACATTTCGTTCACCTTTTTTAGGTAATCTAAAAAGAATATATAATCGGTTCAATAAATTCACGTATAAACTATATAAATTTGTTAGATATGGGATATATGAACTTACATGGGATATGAGCTTTCCTTGACTTCTGGATATTGATCAGTGGTCCAACTCTTTGCCACATTGCGAAGTTCTTCTTGACTAACTATCTCCACTTCTTTTTCCTTAGTTGGGCTAATCTAAAACAAGTCATTTAGATTTACACGTGTATCAAAGAGGGCCTGGGTCGGTTGTTCCCATCTGTAAACTAACTAATAGTTAAATCATATAAATGTCTTTGTTTTTCCTTCAAATTAGACAAAGATACACAGAAAAAAATGTTGTGTACCAAATGTCAATAAAAATCCACTCTAAATTTTGTGTTAAAATAACTCATTCATCGTGTTACTTGTTGACATTTAGAATTAGTTATTTAACACAAAATTTAGAGTGGACATCACTGACATTAAATTTTTTACTGTGTAAACATATGATTTAACTATTAGTTAGTTTACCAACAGATTGGAACAACCCTTATTGTTGTTTGTGGAATGTTCGTTAAAAAAATATTTAAAAACACTTACGTCACTAGGTACTGATTCGTGAACTTGGGAATTTGAGGTTGTATTGACAGGGAACCAGGAAGCAGCTTCAATGCTTGCGATAGCTTTCGCGCCTCTTTCCAAGTTGAACATTTCAATGGATTCCTTGACAGACATATTCCAAATTTGTTTAATTATATATGTCAAATCTCTATGTTTATGAGATACCATTTGCAATGAAATTTTACCTTAATCGATTGCTGGATAACTGACTGCTTCTGAATATTAGCTAACCAGCTATCAAGGTTTGGCAAGTCCTTGGCAATATTGTTTGCGATATCTGTAACCAATATCGTGCTCCAAAGACTTACCCAAATAGAAATATCTGCTGGTGATAAATTACTACATTTCTAAAAAAAAAAAAGATATCAAAGAATGGAGTAAAAGATGGACGATAAAAAGGACATTTGAGTGATGTTTTTGTTTATTTACCTCAATTAAGTACTCTTTTTCTTTCAGTGCATTATTGAGATCTTTTAGTAAAGACCATAAGTCAGATTTCTGTGGGGTTTTGGAAGTTCTTGTGCTTGCGTGACTTAATATGGTTGGCTGTAAAGAATATATTAGACTTTAATACGTGTTTCAAAGAATCTTTGTCTTATATATTCTCAAAATTATTAATAGCTTTCTATGGAGTTGAACGACATATGACTATAAAAAACAACATAAAAAACAAAGACTAGACTAGACTAGGTTCAATTGTAAACAGAAAGCAAGTCTGTAGTTGATGCAATATCTAATTAAAACAATACCTGTAATTGAGAAATTTCCCATTCCAACCATCTGTCGTTAAGAACCTCCGATTCTTTAGGTACCGGCAACAGGAAGCGTAGCGCTGAAGAGACGCTGAACAGAGATACTCCTGATGGCGTAGTCAGCGTTGGCAAGCGACCCAAGGCAGCGTCTACACGTAATACAATATGTAGTCATAACCACATTAACTGAGCCTTGTAGAAGTCGAATTGATTGACTTGGCGACATAGAGAAAACTGATGAAGATACAAAAAGCACTCATGGTGCTCTGAATCTTAAAAATCTAAACAATTCACAAAAACCGGAGTTAATCGGTTTGACTGCTGAGAGATACGATCAAAAGTAATTCTTGCAAGTCGAGGTAGTGTACGAATCTAATCTCGCGTATGATTTAATCCAATATATTCCCTTTCGTAAATAATTTATGCGAGACGCGGAGGGGACAAGCAGGAAGAGGTTAATGGACCCACCGCTGGGCTTCAGAATCCTGACAGAGACGGTCTCCTGAGCCAATTTAGCTGCGACAATCAGCTTCAGCGCGTTTGGGTTGCCCCCGTTCGTGGAAACGATCATCGTCGGCGAATAAATTAATAAATACGTCAATAAATAGGGAAATATGCTAAGCGCACAACCGCGAGACACGTGAGCGACAAACCGCGACAGGAAACAGCGGGAAGCGTGGGGGGAAGCGAGATTGAGGCCCGATTTCCACGCGCGAGGATTGCGTCAGATTCTGCCCCTCTCTCCTATTGGACACGATCTTTTCGTGGGTGCATATGCGACGCTTTACAAAAAATCATCTAGTCACCGTAACGTGACGCCGGAGATACTGATGGAGCTGGAAGACAGAGTAGAGTCAAATAAAGATGAATTAGGATTTAGGAACATTTTTACATCATCTTGCCCTCCCTTCCACGAACATACTTTACAGAATTAATAATTAAATAACAGTTTGTACAGTTACAGGTTTAAGGTACCAAAACACTTCAACGATGTCAGAAATATTAATTTATTCTTCAGTATTAATATACAGAATCGTAAAAGATAACTTTTGGATCGATTTGTAGAATTTCAATCTTCTCAATTTTAACCCTAATTCAATTACAGTTATCCCATTTAACTTTTAATTATCTAACTCCTTTAATTATAACTTTAGGGAAACTCAAATTGGGAGTGACATGTGAGAGCAGTCGATTTGTAGCGGGTCCCAGGTTCAGTCCTATGTACATTTTCATTTGCGATTGGCTCGCTAGATAAGTTAACACGTTGACTGCCATATGATGATAGTAGTCTATCCTCCGTGACCAATACCTAACTTTTCAGTGTTACCCTGACCAGCGCTATCGAACAATTTTTAAAACTTATAAAAACATCATTTGTTATGTATGTCATTGGTATGGACACCATCTAATGTAAAATCTCAGCATAGCTTAATAACGATATAAAGAAAGTAAAAAATGTGTTATTCAACATAGTAACTGCACGATGCAGCCTTGTAATCATATTATACAGTATTTCATCATTATATGCCCGTGAAAACTTTCTACTTGGTATTATAATGAAGATTCTACTACGTGGTACACGGAACAAACCTGGGCAGACAACGCGTTAAAGAACATTAGTTATGTGATGAAATTATAAAAATATACGACGTCATCTCGCTTTCCGCATTTAATAGAATAAATAAATTCTATTATATTTCGTAACTATATATATATATTGAGGATGCAAACGAGCTCGCGTGCTTGTCGATCGTATTACGTGTCCTTCCCAGACTTGAGAATCGTTACAATTTCTTCCAACAGACTGTTTCTTATCTCTCTCTGAGTATTGGCCTTCTCTCTATGTTCCTCCGCGCGTGCAAATTCTTCCTTCTGCATATCCCGCATCTCCATGCATACTTGCAAGACTCCATTTCGCATATAATTGGAATTTTTATTTTTGTTGTCCATCCTGCTGATTAAATTTCTTAATAAACGCTGACAGCCCTGCAGGTTCTCAATTATTTGCACGTTCTGAGCTTCCAATCTGGCATTATGCTGAGTGACTTTCAAATTATCTGCTGTCTCGGTACCACTGCTTTTGGCAATCATCATGGATCTGTAATAAATATTTGAATTAACAGTGATCAATCAGCAAATAATTCTATACCCCGATGAGTTATAACTTACCCTGCCTTTGAGTCATCGTCGCCATTCATTTCCGTTTCATATAAATCAGACGCAAAGATTTCGTCCAGGTCTCTGTAAGCACATTTAACATGTGAATCGATCTCTGACGATTTAGGTCAACCTGTAGAAATTCAGAAACAAACTCACTGTTCGTAACTGCAGATGTACTTTCCCCTCCCGTTTCTCCTGTTGTGTATCATCATGTTCTTGTAAGCGCGTTTGAGCGTTTTGTATCTGTTTTCCACTTGCAGAGACGACACACTGAAGCCATTCTCCATCAAATTTTTGGCTATCTCCTGATACGCCTTCTTCATGTTTTTCAGTTGCCGATTCCTCACCAATTCCTTCTTCTCTTTGTACTCCTTCAGAAAGATCTTCGTCGAGGCGTCGCACCATGGGAAAATCGCATTTCCGCCTTTACTCGTCGTTGGCGTGTCGGCCTTATCGGACTCCTTGGACTTATCCGCCTGTTTCTCACTCTCGGAATCATTGTCAACTATCTCCCATGGAATGACATCGATCTGTATATCGTTGCCATTGACATTGAAGCACATTTTTTCCGCCTTGTCGTCAATCTCCGATATGTGAAGTTGGAAAATCACATTTTCCTCTGTAAATATACACGTTATTAATGCTTGTCCGCAGGTCTGCTTACGTCTACTTTCGTATTGACATTACTTATTGCTCACAGACATTATATAGCCGAAGAAACAATGAGCATTGTCCGATAGAAAGATAGAACATGTCATATACGTATCATATGATCCATCGTGTGATTGTTATTACCTTTACCATTACCTTCGCATGTGATCGTAACAAACCCATTGTTGTCTATGATCACCTTGCCCTCCTCGTCGCGATTAAACCAGCCTTTCATTACCGCGTGGCTCGCTCGGCCCAAGGCTTCTTCCTCACCCGCAATCCCAGCCGGAATCGGCAAAATCCTTTTCTCGCGCCGCACGACGCGGTATTTTATTTTCGCGCTTTATTCCGTTGCACCTTTTGCACCTCCGATACGCTCCGATATTCGGCTGCAGAAAGTGTAAGAAGGTGCAGCGATTGCAAATATATCGCGGTGCCTAGGCCGCGTCGGACGAGAACGTACGTGTACCCTGCGATGGCTGCTGGCGACGAGGAAACGGGACTACACGGCGCGAGAAGAGAGAAGCGGGAGGAGAGAAATGCTTGCGATCCCCTTCGAGGCTCTTATCGCGTTTCGCCGACGCCGAGTCGAGCGAACGGTGGCGCCATCGGGGTTACCGGCCGGTAAAGTAGGTCGCGATTTTATCTGCCAACGGGAATACCTGAAATATCGATGTCGTGTATCGTCTGACGTCATCGCGTGATCGCATGTGTAACCGGGAGCCGATCACTGCCTGCGACGAAAAGTCTCGTAAATTGTTGTAACTCGTTGGACGTGTGACACACGCGTTCCTGACGCCGATCCTCTCGTTGCGAAGAAGACACTTTTTTCCATGACACCCACGCAAACCGCGGTTGCACGCGTGCCTGTCGTGTGAGTATGTCGGGAAGTTTTAAGTTTAAGGTTAAGTGACCCGGTTTTTCCATTTAATTGTTTTTGATAACGCGAGATGATTAGCGCAATATATCTTGCCCTTCGATTGCAGCTAATACGTGGACGTGAGATATTTCCACCGTGCGCGCGGTCGACTTTTTACATTGTTTGAGATGTCATTTAGGTTAGGTCAGATTAGGTTAGGATTACACGATCTCGCTACCTAAACACCTGTGTTGTGTGCGTACGCAAACTTGTTTTATACATATACCTTGTTTGCGTTATCGCTGATATTTTTTTACACTTTTCGTATCTTTCTGCTTTCTCGTTTCCAGTACGAGCGTTGTGAAGTAGTGAAACGAAAAGAATGGCCGAGGCCGACGGAGCCGATCCCACGTGACAAGTGTTTATTATTTTACGTACGTCTCGTTCTGCAGGACTGGCGGTTCTCTCGTCCTCTTTGACAGGATCACAGGAATGAAAGTGTCTCTAGGAAGATGGAATTAAATTTTGTCGAATGAACGCCCCACAGTGAGATTTAAGCGCAATACCGCTCTTTGGAGAAACATGAATAATGATCCAGGCGTCGTCTGTTTCCGTCATTGCTCGACGAAGAGTGTATTCTGCCGGCGTGTACCGGCGACGTGTCCGGTGTGCTCGTCGCGAATGCAGAATTTCGTCGTGGACCCGTTTTGCGTTCCGTATCCGTTTGCAAATGCCGCGCACAATCCGACCAGCGTCGTAATTCGGCCCTCGCGAGGCAGCTTCCTCGATGATTACGACGTGACGAGTGACGATCTACATATCGGGATAGTTGATTCCGCTGGCGTTATCCTGGAGTTCGACAGAGAGGGACTGATAGCGAATGACGCTGTCAGGTGGACCGATTGCGTCGCCTTGGAAGTGGTGCCGGCAGCCTGGACCGCCCGATGGGACGAGACGTTGTCGTTCATGTCGAAGGATCCCAAGTGGAAATCCGTTAACTATAACGCCATCAATATGAACTGTTTCAACTTTGTTCTGGAATTTTTTAATAATCTGGGATACGCGGATCTGAAATTTGCGAGCAAGGAAGATCTGTGCGAGCGATTAATATTATTGAAAATGCACACTGCATGCCGATATGTTTCGTTGTACAGAAACTTGAAGGATCAGGAATATCTGCTGGCGGATCATCACGCTTGATACCTCCCTCTGTCATTTTTTATTTGTATTATGTTATTTGTAATTTGTGCAATAAAAACATTCACGTTTGTACGTCTGTCCTTTCGTTAATTACCGCGCGAATTTTTTTTGCTGAAAGCATAAAGACTGAAAAAAAAAAATAATTGTGAAATTTTTATAATATTTATAGAGATAAATGTTATATGAGATAAGCTAAAATAAATTTTTTTTTACTGAAAAAGATTATTAGGCATATTTGATGATAAATATATCAACATATAGATAAGCCATAATTAATGAGTATTTAATCAAATTATAACAAGACGGTGATATAAAATATTCGATTTCATTACAATAATTTGTTCTCTGATATTTAACAACGGTCAAATATCTTTGCAGGAAGTGAAATACGGACGAAAGGCATAACATTGAGGCAAAATGATTTGTACAAGGATCAGATCGTCTCTATTAAACCGGTGGTGCAATGGACGTTCTGGACAGAAACGCTTGTTAAGGAAACTAATAGATAAGAATGAAAGCAAATTTGACGTGATCGTTGTTGGTGGCGGTCATGCTGGAACCGAGGCGTCTGCTGCTGCTGTTAGGATGGGTGCAAAAACACTATTGGTTACACAGAAAAAAAGTACCATAGGTACGCGTATACTTCAAGTTAATAATGGCATGCTGAAATTTAGATTGCTGCACTTGAAACGCATCTTTGATCAAAGTAAATTTGTGTGATCTAATATGATATAATTGAATACAATTACGTTTGCAGGAGAGATGTCGTGTAATCCGTCCTTTGGTGGTATTGGAAAGGGTCATCTGATGCGAGAAGTGGATGCCTTGGATGGAGTATGCTGTCGGATATGTGATATTTCAGGGATACACTATAAAGTTTTGAACAAGCGCAAGGGACCAGCGGTATGGGGTCTCAGAGCTCAAATCGACAGAGCATTGTACAAGAAACATCTTCAAGCGGAACTCTTCAATATGCCCGGATTGCATATTTACGAATCCTCTGTGGAAGATCTGATTTTGGCGAACGAGCCTCTGTCTTGCGAAGGAGTGATTCTTAGTATGTCTTGAACTTTTATAATAGGATAGAAAGGAATTGAGATTTTTGAATTTAACTGAAAATAATTAAAATGTGACTAATTAAATTTGCAGAAGATGGAACGAAGATATTTGGTGACGCGGTAGTTATAACTACGGGAACTTTTCTGAAAGGCCAGATAAACATCGGGTTAGAGAAAAGGCCTGCAGGTAGAATGAACGATGATTCCAGCATTGGTTTGGCAAATACGCTCGACAGGCTTGGTTTTCGAATAGGAAGATTGAAAACTGGTAAGAATAATGTTCTATGCAATATAGACCTAATTAATTCGTGTAATGTGCTATTTAATGGATATATTTCATGTTTAGTGTTTTAATTAATGCATATATTGATTAGAGTTTGAAATTTTAATTATACATTAATTATATATAACAACATATTAGTTAACATATACGTATTTTTAGGCACTCCGCCAAGGTTGGAGAAAGAGAGCATTGACTTTACCAAATGTTCGAAATCTCTGCCGGACGAGTCTCCCATACCGTTTTCGTTTATGAGCGACAACGTATGGCTACCGCCTGACAAGCAAGTACTAACGTACCTGACGCATACAAATGAAAATGTCGCAAAGATCATTAAGGATAATATGCACTGTAATTTACACGTAACGGAGGAGATATCGGGCCCGCGGTATTGCCCGAGCATAGAGAGTAAGATTCTGCGATTCAAAACACTTCAACATCAGATCTGGTTGGAGCCGGAAGGTCTGGACTCGCCGTTGATTTACCCAAGTGGATTGTCGTGCACCCTGCCGGAAGATAAGCAGGTGGAACTCGTTAAATGTATCCCCGGATTAGAAAACGCTCGTCTAGGTAACCTCTTTTTAGATTGAATTATTTTTGATTAATTTTAGAAATCCACCGCATTTAATTATTCGTGCGTGAACAATTTTATTTATTTATTTATTTATTTATTAAGATTTTAAGTGGATGACTTGTGTCTAGAGAGTGTTTTTGTTATTCAATTTTTATATTATTTTGATATGTTACTAAGATATCTACAATTAAGCTTAAGTCATAGTAATAGGGCACTTATATTTCTATTATGATTTTATATTATAAAAGATTTTATATTATAAAATCTTTCCAACTCCCTTACTTGCATCTACATTTAAATAGCCAAGCCTGGTTACGGTGTCGAGTACGACTACATAGACCCCAGAGAATTGACCACTCAATTGGAGACGAAAAAAATTCCGGGACTGTTCCTCGCCGGGCAAATAAACGGTACCACCGGCTACGAAGAAGCAGCTGCACAAGGTATCGTCGCGGGTGTTAACGCGGCCGCTAAGGTGATTGACGTTATGCAGAAAATACTTATAAATTGACGTTTCTCAATGTAAAGAAAAGAAAAAGAAGTTTATATGACTTTCCATTAAAATCACGTGAATTTAGAAGCATAAAATTTCTCTTGGACGATTTGGCTTATCCAGTCAGCCCTTTCATTTCACGATTGTAAATCAAACTTGTTCTAAAAAATGAATTTTTTATTGCCAATTGAAAAGCTAATATATAGACACATTTTTAAATACGTTTTACATTTTGAACAAATCTCTGTGTATGTCCAGGTGTTTAAGAAACCGCCGCTTCTGATAAGTCGAACCGAGGGATACATTGGCGTCCTCATCGATGATTTGACGACGGAGGGTACCACGGAACCGTACAGAATGTTCACCAGCCGATCGGAGTTTCGGCTGAGCTTACGTCCCGATAACGCTGACCAGAGATTGACGGAGAAGGGTTACACAGTAGGCTGCGTTTCTCGCGAGAGAATCGAGAACACGCGAAAGTTTCTTCGCAAAATGCAGGAAGCTGTACAGATACTCAAGAGCGATGTGCGGTCGTGCAACAAGTGGCGACGGTTGTTGAATTTGAAGAGCTCTAAGTCTGTTGGACACAAGTCGGCATTCGAAATGCTATCCATGACGACCGAGGAAGTCACATTCGCACAAATATTGAAACTGTTGCCGCAGTTAAACCATCTGGCTGAAGATCCTGGTCTGACGAGAAGACTAGAGGTTTGCGAATTAATGATCGAACATATTGCCGTCTGTATTTTGTAAGAATATATTTGTGCGATTTAAAGTAAAGCGCTTTTATAAGCGAAATGGAAATTTCAGCAATTTCACTCAAACGTATTTAACAAATACATTTGTCAATATTTTTAAAACACTGGCAACGATTCGGCTTTCAGATAGAGACGAAATATGAATATGTTGTCGCGGATCAGCAAGAGCAAGTAAATGACATCAGGAGAAACGAGCAAATGACTATACCTGATGACATCGACTACAACAGGTGAGGATCGAAGATTTACTTCGTTGATTGATTATTTAGTTGTTGCACGATAAAATTCATAAGAATGATAATGTTCTAAATGTTACTAAGGGAAGTATGACATTACTAACCGCTCGTTTTATTTCTGTTATAGTCCTGACTTAAATCTATCTACCGAAGATCGAGAGAAACTTTCGAAACATCTTCCACGCACGGTAAATTCTTTCGTTAACGATAGCTCTTCCGTAAAAGCAAATTCTTTTCCTTTTTTGTTTCAATCCCAATAGTATTTGCTGCTATTAAAGTGTAATTATTTCCACATAAGTCGGCATTTGTTTCTTCAATCAAGTCATAATTGTATCAACAGCTTTTAACAGTCTGTATTAATGAGATTTATCTTACAGATCGCAGCGGCTAATAAAATCTCAGGTGTGACACCTTCGGCTATACTAAGGTTACTTTATTATATTAGATATCATTCCAACGAGAATGTTGCGAGAGCACAGTAATGTATTATAGTAGCGAAAAATAAATGATAATGATTTCTACGATGTGTGGCCGACATTCCTCAACAAACGCAAGATTATACGATCAGGAATTTAATCAAATTAATTAAGTATTGATGAGATAATTGTGGATACCTCAAATAATGTAATCGGAACACTTAAATAAGCCTGAAACCTTGAAATGACTTTAATATTCTAAAAAGAGGATAGTTTAAAAAGTAAAAGAAAAAATGTACTTGTTATGTTATAATGTTATTATCGGCACAAATAGTAAACATGTACATCTAACTTCGACTAAATTCCATTTAATTTAATCGGCGATTAATTCAACTATCAAAATTGCAGGAAAGTTTTCAGCTAAATCTTTCCTTGTGTCAAAAAATAAAAAATTAATTCTATATTAATCAAATAATGCAAAGTAAGATTTATTTGTTATAAATTTTTGTTTGGTAGGTTAATCATTGATTAAATTAAATTAAAATCATACGGGAATACGTAAGCAGGAAGACTTAAGTATTGAGCGAATTGGCCAATTACAGTCGAGAATTGAAGACGTAAAGCTACCAACGTTCAACTGTGATTGGTTGGTTTACCACTGAAGTCATGAAGATAGGAAGGAGAGTGGGAGCTTTCCGTTACAAGAAGTAGCACCGACCACCGACTACTTCCGTTTGCGTTCCATTTCCTTTGCGACCGTTCGAGGTTGGAGACGCGTCATGGTGCTGGTCCATTTCTCTCGCGTGAAAAGAAACCGCGGGAGAAACGCAAGATGGTAAGAAACTTTTACTTTCTCTACGTTCATCGATACGTCGCTCAGCTCTGCGTTTTTCTCCGCTGATTCCAACACTCCATTTCCGATTATTCGCTCGTTACAAAGATTTGCAGTTTGCTGGCCACGTTCCCGACCACGTGTTTTCTTTCGTTTATCTAAATGATGAGACTTATTGGTCCGTGTTTCTGATTTATCAGTGATTAATCTTACAACCATTTCTGAGAAAATATTTTATAATGCAACTTATATATAGTGCGTTAAGCGATTGTGAAATTATTTATAATGTATTTTTTGTTTCTCAGGTTAAATCTGCGCGAAAAATGGAAATGATGCATTGCGCTTGTTGCACCATTTGCGAATTTGAAAACTCCTCAGGAGAAAATATGGGACGAAATCCTTGGGATGAAACCTGAGACCAAGTACAAGTCGACCACTTTCATGCAGAATAACTTGCCACATCCCATTCTTCAAAATGACCATTGTAAATTGGTCTGGAATCTTGAAGGTGTAAGATACCCATAAAGACTTTGGAGTTCTTAGGTATAATTATCTTACACACCATTATCTTGGATAATTTTGTGCAAATTTATATAGTTTCTCTGCTTCGACATCTCTTAATTATGATGATAACAGGTCCGTGTTACTGAGTACGATGATTAATATAATCCGTTTTTCTGATTTCTTATATTTAAATCTTTTATTTCATACAATCATCCTTAAAATGTATAGTTTACTGAAAAAGAAATTATGCAATTGCAGGAAGGAAAGCTAATGTGTATGGAATGAAACTATTGATTATTCATTTAATCTACGTCGCAGCCAACAAACACGCTGCAATATTGATTGCAAAGAAACCCCAATGTGAGAAGAATTTTTTTTCTTTGTGAAATGTGATACAGTAAGTAATATGGCGTTTTCATTAATCTTAACATTATTTCGTTAAATTTAGACACTAAATTCTAAATCTGGTATATCATTACATATTGTATCTTTATTATTGATCAATTTAAAAGTATAAGTTTCATACGTTTCTCATAAAATCAAATTTGATATTGTGTCAACTCTTTCAAATTAATATTTAATATTTCTTAATCGTGATGATATTAGTGGTCCGTGTTACTGAATGACAGTGATTATTACCATTAACTGACTTGTTACAAACTTAATTTTATTTTGCAGTCATTCTTTAATCATATGATTTTTAACGAAGAATTGCATTACAGGATAATAAGCTGCTCCAAAATGACGTTATCAAATCTGATGGACGTAGTGCAAATATGATATGCGTTCGATCCGTATGTAACTACATTCAAATGCGAAGATATTTTCGATGCGTTCTGTACATAAAATGAAGAAATTGGATCCGTTGATCGACAACCAAATCACACATTACGATCCATGTAATAAGGAGAAGAATCATCAATTTATTATTCACATTTTGTTATGCTTTGTAATTATAACGTATATCATGTATGTTTGTTAAAAAATAAAGTACAGTTTAATAAATATTTAAAAAATATGATCTAACCATATTTATAAATAATTTTAATTATTAAAGTTATATTAAAATTATGGCCTTATATTTTGATCCCAACATAAAATATGCAGAATTGCTTTAGAATTTGTTATAAATCGTGAACGCGTAAGTAACATGATTTCTCTGATGCATTTACAAATTTTCATTTCAATTTGTGCCTTGTATAATTACAATTATTTTATATTTTGTTATATATCATGGCCCTTATAAAATGATCTTTATGAAAGCACGCATAAAAAGAGAAAGGGTTCGCAATGGCCATATTTCTCTCTCTCTCACTCTCACATGAAAGAAGAGGAGACAGCAAGAACGCAGAGCGCCCAATCAGACCGCTTACCACGATTTCGCCGAAGCGAAGCACCTTCGGTCGATTTTCATTGCCATACGGCCCCCATACTCAATAGCAGAGAGAAATCTTAACCGGAGTCAGCCATTCTATAGTCTTTAGGCTTACGGGTCGGATCCGGATGTCGTGCTCTCGACGCCGCGTTTCTGAACTTTGTTAATAAACAATTGAGAAATATGGTACCTCTCGGCCCATCGCCGGGACACCAAACGTCCGTCAATAATTCTTCCAGCGCGGCTGCCAGCGGGACGAAAAACGCGATATTGGTAATGTGTACAAATACATTAGGGCTGCGTTCCTTTTGGGCGCTCACGCGCTGTAAGCATCGCTCTATCTTCGCTCTATCTTCTTATACCCTAGAATTTACACATGGTAAAGAGTATGTACAGGTTAAACTCGCGGCTAACACGCCGGTTAGTTCGGTTAATCGAGTTACGAACGTTAGACGAAGCGATGTACACGTGGGGATGACAGATCATTCTGATTATTATAAACAAAAGCTGCGTTCAGCCGATACTCCGCTAGCCTAGCAATCGTGAGCAGTCGCTCGTTTCCTCTCCTTTGACCCAATGGATTAAAAGAAGAGGAAACGAGCTTCTTCTTCTTCTTCGTCTCGTTATTGGCACAGCTTTCCTTTCGTAAAGAGGAAACGAGCGACTGCTTACGATTGCTAGGCTAGCGGAGTATCGGCTGAACGCACCCAAATTCTCTTAGATATCTACGAAATTTTAAACTGGAGCATAACCTCGTTTTTTCCCACTTTTTACCTTCAAGTAATTTCTGTATGATCCCAGCTCGATCAAACAGCTTCACGCTTTTCAAGGTGTTTTAGTTTTCGGCTACGTATGTTTCAAACAGTGCATCCACAGTCAAATTTTGACTATCGTTTGAGCAGTGTTACTTTGTAGTGCAGTGTCTTCTATCTGTATCTTTGCTTTTCCTTTTACAGAAGTCCAACTATACGCTAAAGTATACCTTGGCAGGTCACACTAAGGCAGTATCGTCCGTTAAGTTCAGTCCCAATGGAGAGTGGCTGGCCAGTTCGGGTAATTACGGATTCTTTGGAGATCTGATTTGAGATACACTAACTGAAAAAATTAACGATTTTTTAATGTACATTTCTGATTTTTCAGCTGCTGATAAGCTCATCAAAATTTGGGGCGCTTACGACGGAAAGTTTGAGAAGACCATAGCTGGCCACAAGCTCGGTATTTCTGATGTAGCGTGGTCTAGTGATAGTAGATTGCTGGTATCAGCTTCTGACGATAAGACCTTGAAAATATGGGAATTGAGTTCCGTAAGTAATCTATTGTAGTAGTTTATTGTGATTGGAAGAAAATAAACGTTGACGCTAATTTTGAGGCTTCAAAATATTTTGAAAACTTTTCAGTCGTCGACATTAAATATCTCGATAACGTCAAGCTTGGAATTAAAGTTTAAATTTTATATCTTAATATAGGATAAAATTAAAGATTTCTTTTTAACAATATATTGCATATAACATTTCTCGATGTATTAATCTTAGAATCTTACTTTTCAGGGTAAATGTTTAAAAACGTTGAAGGGTCACAGTAATTACGTTTTCTGTTGTAACTTCAACCCACAATCCAACCTCATAGTTTCTGGTTCTGTAAGTAACATATAAATTAGTTGCACACATATTTTCTCGTTCTTTATTGATTATATGTAAAAATGCTCCTTTTAAATCAATTTAGAATCTCATCAAAATATAAATTTTTATGAGAATCAACTTGGTCAGGTTTTCTATTAAATATGAAACTAGTAATATTATGTATGCGATTACAAAAAGGATAATCAGATCCTGAGCAAGGTAAAATTTAAAAAAATTCGTCTTTTCAGTTCGACGAAAGTGTGCGGATTTGGGATGTAAGGAGCGGGAAATGTCTTAAAACCTTGCCGGCACATTCAGATCCTGTGAGCGCGGTACACTTCAATAGGGATGGTTCTTTAATCGTTTCGAGTAGTTATGACGGATTATGGTAAGTATACAACATCAAAAGAACAGTGGCCCCATATCTTCTCTGGAAATTTATTTACATTTAGATGTAATATTGATATCACATATTTACACGTCATTTGCAGTCGAATTTGGGATACTGCGTCAGGTCAGTGTCTGAAAACCTTGATAGATGACGACAATCCTCCAGTATCGTTTGTCAAATTTTCGCCGAACGGTAAATACATTCTGGCAGCAACGCTGGACAACACATTGAAACTGTGGGATTACAGTAAAGGGAAATGTCTGAAAACGTACAGCGGCCACAAAAACGAGAAATATTGCATCTTCGCGAACTTCTCTGTAACAGGTGGAAAAGTGCGTATTGTGATTAATATATCAAATGTGTCATGATTAAGACGTGGAGGCGATAGACTCGGAAAATTGTTTTAACGTCTTTTTTTCTACCCACAGTGGATTGTATCCGGTTCTGAAGATCACATGGTGTACATTTGGAATCTGCAGACGAAAGAAATAGTACAAAAGCTACAGGGGCATACAGGTAAGCATGTGTTCATTAAAAAAAAAAAGAGAAATTGAGTTAAAATAAAATTGAATCTTTGGATCTTTATGTGAATATATGGATCTTTATATGAATATAGTATATACACAGTGAATTACTTATAATGTTAATGATCAATATCTAAAAATATGCATCCTATGAAAAAATGGTTTAGACAAAACTTTTCAAAAAAACATTTTTAGAGAAGATATTTAGATATTAGATTTTTTTTATCTAAATTGCACTGGTAGAAATATGTGGAATATATGTGTATGTGTATATACACAAATATATTTGAAAAAATACACTTTCCACTAGTACGATGTATTTCTCTAAATAAATTATATATTTTTCACAATTCTCTCGAATTTTCCGCTGTATTAATTATTCACTGACAGCGTGCATGTGTCTCGTTTTTAGATGTGGTACTTTGCACAACGTGTCATCCAACGGACAACATTATAGCTTCGGCCGCCCTCGAGAATGACAAAACTATCAAACTATGGAAAAGCGATACATAAGGATACACAATAAGCAATATACATTTTGTAAATTCATTGCTGTTACTATTTGCTGTACAAATCTCTGTGTTTTTATGTTAAAGAAAGAACGATTACATTGTAAAGCATAGATCATAGACATTAGATAAAGTAAAATGCTATTTTATATCAGAATAATATTTTATTATTGACAGTGTTACACGAGGTTTTAGCTTAGAGTTAATTAATTTCGATACGCTAGCGCCTGCATTTACTATTAAGAATATATTAGAGATAGTTGACTTTGACTGAGCAGTATTAATAATTCAAATCTTATCGTGATTGTACAAAATTATACGTTTAAAAGTAGTAAATTGACCGGTATTATCACTCACACACAAGTATGACATACATATTATTGGGGATTCAATACCAATGATTCCTTTAATTCCGCGGAAGTCCCGGAAACTTCCACAAGAGGTAGATCTGAGATATACGTGAATTCATAAATTATAAATTATAAATATAGGTACATACTTGTATATTCTATTTTTTAAATAAAACAGATAATAATACGAACGATTCAACCAAACATAGTTTCTTTGGATTAATTAATAAAAAAATAGTAGTTTTTTAAATATTTCAAAACAAAATTGTCTGTTAAATCAATCGCGATTTTCTAAAGGTGATTCGATGATTTTCGAAGTAATTAAGTCTCAAAAATCTAAAATTAATATTCGATCTCCTGTATTAGTTTTTCTTTTTCAAGTGATATACCCAATTATATGTAGTTTTTAACGATCTATTTAGTACATTTAACATTTACAAAATCTAATAAACTTTGTCTATCTTAAAAAGATATAAAAAATATTTTATTATATATGCAATGAATTAGCGAAGCTAGAAATGTATACTGACTTTCAGCATAAGGAATATATAAATGTCTCTAATATTTTAATATCATAACAGTTTTCTGCATAATTCTAACTTGTCAAACATATCCTGTACAGTTCCGAATAGTAATAGACATTTGCTAAGTCTATTACATTTGGTGTATATAAACTATATAATGCAGAAAATATTTTATTTATGTTAATAAACAGAATTATATCTTCATTATATATAAATTGTCCATGATTTGAATTTGTCCAATTAATATTGCGATAGTCTCTTATCTTATTTAACGTAAGTACACAAAATAAGTTTGGTTCAAATTTTTTGGATTATACGTGATTGCCGTACTTTTTTTTAAATCATTGATATTTCACATGTAATATTCACATATTCCATGAATATCGCACAGCATCACAGCCAAGATTGCCACTTTTCGAACATGCGGCCCAAGATATTCAGGTCTTTCGCTTGATCCAACAAACAGTCCACCTGAAACATGGCCGATCATTTAATGTCGAGGAATAAAAAGAAAATTTCAGTAAAAAATTCTCACAGTATCAAAATTACCTGTTCTGCAGGTGTCAAGCGATCGCTCCTTACATCTGCCCGTGGTTGTTTGAGCCCGTCATTGCCGGTGACGATTGCGTGATACCTCGCAAAGTATTCATCGTCATGAGCTTCTTTTAATTGTTCCAACGTGATGACTGACGGATGAATTCCATTTAATTTTTTCGCAACTATCTCGATATTCCTTTTGGATGACCATGTTAAATCTGCAAATCATAAGATATATGCATAATATTTAATTTATCTCAGTCTGCCCACTCACATTACACGTAGAATAACTATTTAGCTTTAGCAACTTTGATTGTAATTCTGTACATATAAAGTGTGTTACAATCGTATCCTATAAATATATATTTATGTACATATATATGATTCCTTTTTTAATATATATCTTCTCAATAGTTCCTAATTTTTATAACATATTTACAGTAAGCATATTTTACTGAATCGGATTCGATGACGTGCATCGGGATCGACCGCGGTAAAATTCCAGAATATCTTTGCACAGCAAATTGTGTGTTCTTTTATACCTGCATCAATATCTTCGTCGTCGTTCCTCGTTATTTCACCGTCGTTGATGCTCAACGACCGCTGGACGGGTTTGTGGACAAAAATGTCCATGCAAGCGAGGATCGGGCCTCGATCGTCGCGCAGAGCCCGCATCGTATGGGTCATGATCGTCGCCAGGAGGTCTCGCTCCGTGAAGGGTCGCAGCAGCTCGATGATCTGCGGTGTCAAACGAAACGGCACGAGTTCTGGTATCGGTGCGCGTACGCCGCTGCCAAAAGCGTGGCCAAAGTCGATGCCCAGACAACGTCCGGTCGTGACGTGTACCAGGGTGTTCTGTAGGTGACGATCGCCGATTCCTGCGAGCCAGTGCGCCGCGCACATGGTCGCGTAACTTGCGACAAAGTTACGTCGCAGCGTGACGAAACATTCCGGGGACGGGCTGATCATGTTAAACGCGTCACGTAGAGCCGTTGGCCTCGTCTTGCTGATCAAGCGCTTCATGTTCTCCGTGACCTCCTCCTGACTATACTTGGACAGGGATACCTTGTACCAATCGGTGATCCGCTGTTTCGTAGGCGCTGCGTCCTTTATCCATTTCGCGTACCGCATGCAGATCTCCGTGAGCCGATTCTTCTCGTTATTCGACAGAGTGAACTTTACTAGATCGTCTAAGGATTTCGTGTCCTCGATCCATTGAATGAGACCGAACGAGCTTGACAGTGGAATGACCTGCGAAAGGAAAGCTCATATGTTACAGTAGCGAAGATATGTAAACGGTATTTAAATTGGAGAATAACATATCACACATATATCACCTCGTACGTGTCGATGGCCAAGCGCCTCTGTCTGCAGCCGGGGTCGTTGCGCAACGTTCTGTTCATGGTGGAATACAGCTGCTGCAGGCCCCGGTCGATCGTCAGATCCTCGCCGAATTTCACCAGAAACTTGTACTCCCTGCCGTTGTCGCCCATCATGCCAATGCGAATCGGTTTGCGCAGCGATTGCATGACCTCCACCTGCGGTTCGAACCGCGCGATCCTCACGTGGTAGCGCGGCACGGGTTCCCTGTCGCCGGTGTATTGTCCGGGAATCTCGATACCGCCGCCGCTACCACCGACGTACTCGTGCAAGAACGGACTGTAATCCTTTAGCCTACTCTCGTATCTCATGTTCTTCCGGAAGGACTTGTTCAACCGCTCCTTAAGTCTTCGTATCCCATCTCGCGCGGTGTCGCGATTATTAGGATCCAAGGCTCTTATTTCACTCTCATAATCCGCAATCTCCTTATTAAAGATAACACCCGGTCGCGGGTTCCTTTCTGCCACGCTGGAATTCGGATAGACTTTCCGCAACAGCGATTCGATGGCTGTCGCTTTCCCTCGGGACAGATCCCTCATCGCCTCGTCGAGATGGTGTTTCAGATACAGTTTCGGTTGCGCCACGTACTCTATCGCCCGCAAAAACCGCTCGTACTCTTCCGCTTTGTCACGCAGGAGTGAACGTATCCGCTGGATTTTCTCGTCCTGAAGAATACCAGGGTTTCTCTCGACGGTAAGATGATACGTGTAGGCGATCGCGTCGGGATAAGTCTCGGCGAGCCTCTCGACGATCGATACGATTGCGGTCGAGATCGACGCTGTTCCCAGGTGGGAAAAGAGCAGGTCTCGCCAACGCAGGAACAGCCACGGTCGCAGCTTGGCGCATTCTTGGACGAACATCGCTCGTGTCTCGTCGTTCTGCAGTCGTTTGGGTCTCAGCAAGCAGGGGAAGTAGTGCGTAGCTTCGAGATAATCGTGACTCATGGATCTCAGAGTAGACTTCAGAAATTCTTGGAAGATCTCATCGTTCTCCGCGTCAGTACTCATCAGTCTATAACAATGTCTGGCTAAAGCGCAATAGTGTTCGCCGACGCTAGCAGTAGTCGGATTTTCGCAGCAAGATTGCAATTTGTCCAAACTGTAGCTCAGCAAATGTTCCCGGATGTTATCCAGGTCGATACTCGTCGTTCCTATGTCCTTATGTAAGATAGTGTTGCTCGCCAATGTGCTGGCGAACGCGTCGTTCTCCCTGCTCAAGGATTCGATCTTCGAAGCCATCGTGCCGATATGCTCTTTGATGGCAGTGCTCATGTCAGGGTCGAGCTCCTCACTCTTCAACAGTTCATGCGAGCTTTCCCAAGAAGCGGTATAATTGTTCATTTTCTTGGACACGTCCATCTCGACATCGGCGCACAGACTCTTGATTCTAGCCTCAAGCCAGGCTAATGATAGCTTCGGACGACGGACGTCATCCTCCTCACCGACCATTTCACTTATAGAATTCAGATACTTATTTGCATGTTTCAAGTGTTCCTCGGCGATATATCGGTGTTTTTGACTCAACGCTGCGTCGATGATGTCCAGTCGGAGCTGATAATTTTTTTGGTATAGCTTCTTTTTCCGTCTTCTGCAATCATCCTCAAACAACATCGAAGAATATGCTCGATAGGCAGCTAATTTGTTCCATTGTATGAGGTTGTCTCGAATCGTGGGTGCTTTCCTCGACCAGAAATTCAACAGCGTCGTCATATTGTCCGCACTGTTTGCGCATCGAAGAATCTTGAGCGAAGCATCTAGATCGTTCATGACTTGCAACTTAAATAATTTGCGTATTCCTAGCTCGGTGCAGAGGGGATTCAACCCAACCCATTGCTTTCCTGTCATATCTAAAAGATCATTTAACAGATCGGTCGTCTTTTTCACAGATTGATCGTCCGTTTTCAGTAGAAATAGCACCAGATTTTCGCCTGTCGCGGGCATAAGATGCTGCAATTTGTTTCGATCGTCCGTCCACGACTGGATAGTCCTCATATCGTTGCTGTTCAATGCCCAGTCTCTGTTTTCCAACATATGTACATAGGCATCGCAAGCATACGGAATCATCCAGTCCTTCCATGCGTCGTTCCAGATATCGTTTAGGTTTCCGTTTTCAGCACGGCCTTTCACGAGCCGGTCGATCGCCGACCAGTCACACAAATTGTTCGCGGCCTCAAGTAATCCTTGCAAGCAGTGCTCCTTAATCGACGGATCCTCTGTTTGTTCGTAAGCACTCGCGAACGCATCCTTCGCTCGAATCCAGTCGCCGTCCACTTCCGCGAGAGCCGCTTCCTAAGCACAAAATGCGCAGAGATTGATGAATAACGTTATTTTTATACTCCGAGCAATATGATTTTTTTTGTCAACAAATCCGGTTTCATCAGAAAATTTTATCATGTTTCAGATATTAAATTATTTTTTTTTTAAGAGGGATAGGAAAGCTTTCCTTCAAATGGGAAGAACTTACCGAAATCAACAAAGTCAATAATTCTGTTCTGATCAATGGAAGATTATTGCGAAATTATCTCGTATCCAAATTAATTTGATAAACTTGTGAAAATTACCTGTACATTCTGACCGAAAGCTTGTCGTCCTCGAAAGATGCTCAGAACGACGTCAACGTCATTCAGTGATTTATAGAGAGACGCCAATTGCGTCCACTTCCTGGTCTCCTCGTTGCGAATGTCATCGTCGTGTCTTCGCATTCTCTTACTCGATGTGGGCCCCGAATCATCGTCCCGCGCATCAGGCAGTAAACTGAGTTCCAGGAGAAGAGTACCGAGAGCGTTCAAATGATTCGCCTTAGACGTCTTCACTATGTCTCGCGGATCGCAGTCGGCGACCGTAGGAGCGTCCCGACTCAACCGTAGCAACGTCTCTAAAACAACAGCGTTGAAAGAGCTGTCTCTCTCGCACGAGTCGTGCAGGATTCGCTTCAGACTCTCCACGATGGTCCGACGAAAATCATCCCTCCTCTCCCTCTCGATCACTTCTCCGATCAGTGAATAGAACAGGGACACGGTCACATCTTTGCAGATCAGCCGATCCAATTTGATCAACTGTTGAAGTGGTACGATCAAACTCGCATGAGATATCTCGATGTCGGGAAATTCTCCGATCCTATAGTTTCTGAAAAGAAAAAAAACATTAGCAATATCAAAATTACTTAAAATCAATCTAAAAAAAAAACATCAAGCCAAGTCGGTGTCTTACCTATACAATTTCACGCTGCTTCTCTGCCTGATGCTTTCTTGCTTTATCTTTTCTGCTCGTTCCACGTTCCTTCGTATTTGCTGGTTGCGCATGTTGTTCGAGACGTCCGAGGTGTTCGCCAGAATCCTGGTGAATCTCTCGTGCCCCGTCTGCGGCGGTCTTCTCGACGAGGACGCGATTGACCCTCGATCAAATCCAGTGTCGTCCGACGAAATATCGAGCGTCGTGGCCACATCCGCGGCATCGTCGTCCTCGAGAAAAGTCGGCGTAAACTGCAGATCCTGCGTCGCGCGCAGCCTCGCAGGGACACGGTTCGAGAAACGTGAATGAGAGAACGTAGGAGTCGTGTAGGTTCCATATAAATCGTTGTCGACGCTCTGAGAGAAGGTGCTGTAGCTCATCTGGGAAGCGAGCGAGTCGACGAACATTGGCGTCATGCAGCTCAGGTTCCGCCTCCGCCAGGAAACGGTTATCTTGTGCTCGTCGAAGTTACAATTGTTCTGCAGGGGCTCGTCGAACATCTTCCTGTTGTAGTCTATTGATTTGGTGGTCAGCTGCAACATCAGCAAGGCCACGAAGGGTGCGAATGCGTCCTCGTCCGTTGTCACCTGCGACGAATGCATGGCCAGAAGTGCGATCAATCGCTCCTTCGAGCTATTTGTGTTCAGGCTCGTCTCCTCCGTCCAGAACTTCAGTATTCTGTCCTGCAGATCGGAAGACGGGTCCAGCAGACCGGCTAGAAGATTTTGCACGCTGACGGACAGCAGATTTCGTACAGTCGCGTCGTCGTCCGCAATGTCCGCCGAATATCTCTTATGAATCCTCATGAGTATGTCGTAAACCAATTCCCGGTGTTCCGTAATATTTTCCTTGATATATGGCAACGTCAGTTCCACGTAGGGCAGCAGATTCGTCGGCGAGACGGTCGCTACCATGTCGCGGACGATTTGCAATGCTATTTTTGCGCAAGACGACTCCCGGTTCATCAGAATCCTTTGCAGCTCCATGTGACACAGATTGTTCACAATCTCTTCCGCGCTCATCTTCGACATCGCTAACGCGAATATCTCCAGGCAGTAGGCTCTTTCCAGAGAGCCAGATTTGGCCATAGCGTTGATCGTGACGTTGATGTAATCCTTGGCTACCTCGGGATAAGTTCGGCAGAGAACAGCGACGCGTTTCACCTGCTTGGTCATATCTATGTCTGTGGAAACAGAACCGAGGATAGCGAAGATCCTGTTCTTCACCTCGCGTTTCTTGCTCTCTCTTTCAGTCTCGTTGCATCTGCCGTTGTCCAGAGAACGCAGGTACAAGCCGAGACACTCACAGCACTGCAAAGGCGTCTCGTCTGTATTCCGATCGCTTAACGGCCTCAGCAGAAAGTCGACGATGTCGTTCTCAGTGACGACTTTTTCCTCCATGCCGTTGTTGAGAAGCACCAGAATGAGATACACCGCGGCCGCCGGCGAAGATATCATTTTTCGTTTTAGGACTTCTTCCGGCACTCGCAAGCAGCTGCGCCACTTCTCCACCATGATCTTCATCAGGTTCAGATTGTAGTTGTACACGCGACGATTATTGTTGGCTCTTAATACCTTTTCGACGAACACTTTAAAGAGTCTTTGTGCCTCTTTTTTGTCATTCTCGGTGCTCAGCACGGTCACGTCGTCCCAATTCAGCAGTATCTCCAGAACGTCTGTAATGATATAGTTCAAATCATATCGTTCCAAATAATCAGCGATAGCCTTGATAATCCGTCCCAGCACAGCCTTGGCATAGGGCTTGAATACCTCATCTGCGGTGTTTGAAATGACCTTAAGTATAAACAGTTGAATATTCTTATTATTCTTTGAATTCAAGCCTCGGAGGAAATAATCGAGCCAATCGGGCGGCTTCTCAAGGTGATTGTCATTGCTCAACCCGAATGTTTTTCTGATATGCCGTAATAGGACACAAATATATGGCATGCACTCGTGCTCGTTAAAATCGCTGTTCTGTAAGGCGATGCTCGTCGCACCGTGTGCGCGAAGCGGATCGGAATCAATGGAATTCGTCGTCGAGGCGTGACGACGAAAATCGGACGGCAACACGACGCATTTGTTGAAATCGTAGGCATTAATGTCCTCGCTCAATGTGCAGGACGACAGATCGTAGCTATGAACATAGGCATATCTGTGCGTACGCTGTCCATCCCTGTTTTCCGCGGATTTGATGTTAACGGTGATCTCGCGGGTCTTCGGATACTCCTTGAAGATCTGACCAAATTGGTACTGCGTGTCACAATCTATAATATTCTGCCAGATCCTGAGTTTTTTCTCCTCATTCTCGCCAAACGCCCCGCAGTAGAAACGCTCCTCCTTCTTCAGGCTCACGATTGCCAGCCAGCAATTGTATGCGGAGCAGTGCAGCAGACGCGTGAACTCCTTACATTCTGGCCGCGTTATTCTCAGGGACCGGATATTTAGAGCGTGGTTATAAAGATTTTTATAAAGATCTTTGTTGATTAGGAATTGGTTATTCTGCGCGATCGCATCTTTTTCGATTTTATTGTTCGCATCTATTTTGTCTTCGCCCACCCGGGCAAACATGACCGCTATCAACTGAAAGTATCCAATCTTCGATACGATTTTCTGCTTGACCGCATCATCATCGTCGACGATACGTAAATCAGCGGTCTTGTTCAGATCTTCGATATTTTTCTCAAAGAAACGCTCGATCGCGATTGCGTCGCAGAACTTGAACGCTGGCAAGAGAAATTTGTTTAGAATGTCGAGTCTTTCGTTCTCGGGAGTGTTCATATCCATGAACGCATTGTAGGTCTGCTGCAGCGATTCTAGAACGTGTTCAAGGGTCGCTTCGTAGTAGTACCCGTGCAGATGTTCCTCAAGTTTCTCGTTCTCGAAGAGACGTTTGCCGGTACCGGCAGCGAAGTGTATCACGCACTCGAGCATTATTATCGACCTGGTCGTCGACAACAGCACCAGCAACGTCTCGAAGCAATCGATCACCTTCATGGCGTTTACGTTTGTCTCGGAGAGATTTGAGCACAGCAATCTTCCGTCGTTTTTTAGAGTCCGCAAGCTTCTCTGCAAGTCTTGGCGATCCACATCTGTCACATCTGTCAGGCAGATGAAGAAATTTTTAAGAATCTTTGTCTTGTACTCGAGATTATTGTTTATCAACTCATCCCGAATCCAGTTGTAGAATTCCTGATTCTGCATAATCTCCGTGGGCTTTGACTTCAGATGCACCACGATGCTGTAGATATTCATCAGCCTCTCTTTACGACTGTTCACATTACAGACGGCGTTATTCAGACAGGAGAATTGCTGCAGAATTACATTGAGTATAGCGTCAATGTCAACCTGCAGCTCACGCCTGTGACGTTTCAGGAACAGCAACAGATCCTCGGTCCATTTCAATAGGAAGGATGGATCGTCGGGTGACGTATCAAAGATGTGCTTGATTGCGCCCACATTCGTCAACATAAATTTGAAAATCACACTCTTGAACGTGTTCAGAAAGTGTTCGCCGTACGTGATTATTGTGCAGTCCGCACTAGTTACCGGGGCATTGTTCGATATCCATTGCACCAGTTTCTCGGTCATCGACCGAGTGTCTTCGCCTATTATCAGCGGCTTCTCGATCGTCGACGAGAGTAGCGAGAACTGAAATTCCATCAGAGCTCGCAAGTACTCGATCAATCGCGCGCTCAAGTCCGTGCAGACCAATTCTCCGATTCGTTCGCTCACCAAAAACTTGAAGATCCGCTCAACTACGTTATCACCGTTCGTGAAAGCGCTTCTTTCTAAGACCGTTGGATCGAGCATATCGCATCGCTTTAACAAGATCAGACCGTTAACGTGTTGAATCAGATCATCGCAGAAGTCGTTTTGCGCGATATTACGTAGATTGAGAAGCTTCGTGATGTGTTCCCGAACAAAACTTAAAAGATGCTTCTTGAAGATACCTGGTAGAGCATAGTTGTATCTTGATCTCATAGAGTTTAACAAAGCCTCCAAGATGTGTGGCAATTTATCTGTCATCTCGATATTCTTCATATCAAAACCGACCGCTCGTGGATGCATTATACATCTAATCGTTAACTCGGACAACGAGTCATCCCATAATGATTCCCGTAGAACGTTGATCTGGAAAATAAATAACTGTAAAAGTTTATTGCAAAGCTATTTCTCAACAAACATGTCACATTAATAGACATTAGAAAAACAGAGAGTTTATCAAATAAATCCTAAAGTAGGTACAATATAATTACCTACTTTCCAATTAATGATTGATCACTTATTCATGAACAATATTCATATTTTATCTCAATTCTTTTTATTATTCATTAATTTGATTGTTCAATAAATCTTAATTACATTTAGCAAGATAAATTAAAAGTAATCGAGTAGTAATCGAGACAACTCACGTCGATGTTCAGTAGCACTTGTATGAAGTTTAATGTGGTCATCAGAGCTTTGCACTGAAGCGCCTGCAGCTGTTCGAGTTCTCTAGACTTCATTGTTGTCTCAGATGTTCCCGCCGAAGACACCGCGATTACTCGGCAGAATTGACGAGCAAAATTGCGAATACAGAGAAAGATCGTTTGCTCCACATCGTCGGTGGGAAAGAGCATTTCTACCGGCAACAATTTCTTGTCTATCAACCACACGTAACAATCCAGAGCTTTCAACAACGATGTCACGTTATCGGTCGTGGAAGTATCCTTCACACCTGATTCTAAGCCTTTCAAGATGATATCGTTCAGTCGATTTATCCCATAAGTCTCAACGAAATTCTGCGTCATCTCCTGCGCACCACTGCCGACGTACTGCGATAAATTGACGTACAGCTCCATGCATTTCGCACGGCAATGTTCGTCGAGAGTTCCGCATTGCGACAGCAACCAGTACAGAGCGGAGATCAGAGTCGCGTCATCGAACTCGTGCGGCTTTCGACGCTTGAGGACACCAGCCGTGTTCAGAAGGTCCGCCTCGAGCTTGGATTTCATTACTTTCATTACTCTCTCGATGTGGGACAGCGCGTTCGTGATTGACGGATCGTTGCATCCATCTAAGCTGCGGACAAAACAGTAAAATATCTCCAACCAGTAGATCGACACCGTGTCATCGTCCTCGCGCAGTATCACGTAGAGATGATTGAAGGCTACGGCTGCAGCTACGCGTTTACGCGTTGACGGGTGCAACGCGAGATTGTTGATCCTTCCAATGATCTTACTCACATGCGAAATTGTTCTCGTGTCCGACGAGGTGCTGATGGATGACGCTTGCCTAATGGACAGATTAATTCATTAATCATTCTGAGATTGAAACGTTTGCCCTTAAAAAAATAATATCATAAAGTCGATTTCGCGCTGAGATACCTTATTGACCAGCGTGTGAATTCTGCCAGACACATGCCGGAGAACTCGCGTAAAGCCGAATTCGAATCATCGGTTAAACCGTCGAACAGTGCATCGATCACCAGAGACATTGACGTGGGCCTGGAGCTCAGCCAGCGCATCAGTTGCATTGCCAATGGATGGAAGAGACCGTACACGACCTCGTCGGAGTCACAGCCGAGGGCGACTACAGCCCGACACAGGGTGCCGTAGAGAGCAGCGTAGGGATTCTTCGAGCCGAGATATCGCGCCGTTGAGCCGAGAAAGAGGGTCACCATCGAGTGCAGAACCTCGCAAGCCGCAATCTTGGTACGTCGGTCGCTGGAGTCGCGCGCCAGCGCAATTACTCGCGGCAGCATCCGATCGAAATGGATGACCGGTCGCGCGTCCGGCAGCGACAGGTTGTACTTGAGTAGATTCTTGTGATCCCAGGACGCCCCGGTGCTGCGAGAAGCACGCTCGTGCACGAAGCTCGTCAGCAAATCGTGATCGAGTGATCCGAGGAACAGCAGAACTCGCCGCTGAAAGTTTCGCAGAGTACACTCGGTGTCGATCACGTCTACGCGCTTCACGCGCTTCCTCGCCGTCGTTAAGTCCTGTGAGAGCTCGACGGAGCTCTCCGTGCTACGCAAGTACGGCTCCAGGTACGCGACGATCTCGCGCAACAGTTCGTTCGTTCGCTCATCTCGCTCCCGTTTCTGTGCAGTTGTCGACGTCGTCCACGTCTCCAGAGTAGCGAGCGCGGTGTACGCGAGTTCCAGGTTACTCAGGCCGACGGTGAACGCGATCTTGAACGCCGGCAGTGTGCGCGATAGCGCGTCCTCGATGTACGCGAAAGGCGCATCCAAGATCAAATAGAGGCACGCGATCAATAGCTCGTTAGAGAACGCGGGGATTAAATCGAGAGTGTGACACAAGTAATTAGATAGAAGCTCTTTCGTCCGTTGCAACTCTGCATTGTTCTCCTCTGATATATGAGCAAGGATTTTCATACCGGCCCGAATCAGTTTGTAGAAGCCGGATATCAGCGGATACCTGTATGACAATCGGACGACTTCGTAGAGAAATCTGTGCACGGTGTTGCCGAACTGTAGCTCTGACGCGTCGATCACGTCCACGTAAAGGTCCACGAGATTCGCGAACACGCGGAAGTCCGCCTGATTCACGGCGCTCTGAGTGAGGGCCACGTCGGACAGCACGGTGTCCTCGTTCTTTCGTTTCACTTGTATGTTCAGCCGGTTGATCAACGCGATGCACACGTCCAACATGGTGTTCGCTACGTATTGCGCCAGCTCCTCGTGTCCGCGATAGTTCTCGGCGTTCAACAGCTCCGTCCATAGTGGCAGATAGTTCTTGTAGCATACTGGCGATTGTGACAGATTGTTCAGCTCTCGTTGCAGCTCCGCGTCGAGCGCCAACGTATGCGAGCAACTCCACGCAACGCCGTCGTAAACTGGACGCAAAGATGAGATTTAATACATCGCATATCGAGACTATTATTATCGTTATGTAATTACCCTTTGGGTAATTCAAAGTGAGAAATGTTATTGTATATCTTGGGTAAAACTTTCTTTGTAAATTATCTAAATAAAGTTAATCGTTAAAGAAAGATAAATTTACTTACCTATAGTATCGAGATATCGCTGCAGCAGACCTTTATTGACGGTCGCGAGATTGCTGATAGTCCTGGTCAATGTGTAAACACCGACCTTATTGGATATTGTTAAATCGGGGAATCTCTTGATCGTATAAATACTAAGCTTTACGATGACATTAATATTTTCAATTGTAACGTCAGTCATGTGACACAGTATTTCCGAGAGCGCTTCCTGATAACAACAGACGTTCTCTATGTGCGTCGAATGGCTATGCTCACTTGAAAAAGAACAGATGAAGAAATTATTCGCCACCTTCTTATTAATAATATTAAAAAATTCCAATATAATTATATTACAAGTGTTATTTAAAATTTTATTTACCTGGCACAAAGAGGAAGCGCGTAACTGGTTATATCGGAATACATAGATCTTAAATTGGATTCATCCAGATGCGTTTTGCATGGCGCAGCCATTTGACTGAAGCCATAAACGACTAATCGCAATGTGCTTAAATCTAAGTTAATCTTCTTGAGTTCTGTATGAAAATAATCCAAAAAATACTGAAACCAAAAACATATCATAAATTACAAAACTGGAATTAATTGAAGAAACTATATATTTTTAATCTATTGAAGCCTCCCCCCCCCCCTTGAGATTCAGTTCACTTAGTAAGTTCTTTTCTCGTCACGAATAAAAAATCGTCTTATATATCTCATTTATCTTACTTTTAAATCGCTCTTTTCACTATTTTGATCTGTGAGAATCTGTCCGATAACTCGATAAAATCTTTTCAATGTGTACTGTCCGCTAACACCGTAACTAGTCGTTTCGAGCGATAAGCTCCGGAGGGTATCGTGCCAGTACTTGTAATCAGGATACAGCAGGTCTTGAAACAGATTCATATGACGATTTAGAAGCTTAATCGCTGATCCCATTACTGTTCTTTTTTCCTGTTTAGCCCTTTGCTGTTCGCTTGATTGGATAAAGTTCTTAATCCACTCGTAAAATTCGCGGAAAAATGTCTCCTTTATGTTGTCCGGTGGTTCCACACTGTCCAACATGTCCGCAAGGGAATCGAAATACATACAGAAGTCAGTGCGTACGTTGGTCTTAGGATCATACTGCACATAAAAATTATAATATCATATAAATTGTTTCCAAAAATTAATAAATTGTCTCACAGTTAAATTTATAGATCATTACTACTGACTTTACCTCCTCAGACGCATCCGACTTCATTTGTTTGAAAATATTGGAACAATTTTGTGGCGAGCAGACACCTACATTGTGCTTGATTATTTTACCGAGTACGCAAAATATCGATCTTCTTTCTGCAAGAAAATTTATGAGATATTACGATACATTCTGCACATAATTCTAATGAAATCCAATGCTCTTACCATTTCGTGAGAAGCTTTTAATATAAGGTATGTTAGTAAACTTCTCGATTGTCTTGGCAAGCTGCAAGCTTGCATTACCTTCAAATAATTCTATCAATTTTGTAAATACATCACAAGCGGCTTTTTTGGTAAAAAGATTACATTTTACAGTCAGTGCAAACTGACACACATCCTGCAACATATAACAGAAATATTGTTATAATTGAATTATGAGATTTATATAAAAGTGCAGCATCTCATTTTTTTTTTACATCTACTTCAAAATATTATTTTTAGAAATAGACGTAACATTACAAGCTCTTTCTAATCATTAGATATCATTGATACTACTGATCACTATCTTCAATCGCTATCAATCAATATTCATATAATACACAAATATCAAATACAATGTAATACCTTAACTCCACGAATATACCGTACAAAGCATGGAGTAGTATAAAAATTTTCGACAAAAAATTGTAGAAAGTGAAATGCTTCTTTCACTGCTATATCAGCGAACTTATTTGTTTGTCTATTTGCTTTTGTCTGTCTTTCAATTTCGGAGTTGAGAAACCGTAGCACGCCATTAAGTATGCTGCATACAGCTGATTCTAAAAAATACAGACAAATTATCACCTAGTCAATTAAAATAGATAAGTATATATGTATATGACACAATTCAATTGTTATATTGTAGTACAATCAGAAGGAAACGGAGTCTTTGTAAAAAGAGCCACCTTTCAACACGGATCGTAATAAAAAATTATAGAAAATTTTCAAAGGCTTGAAAATTCGAATAAATTCATTCGCTTATATCGACGTTTTCAAAAAAGTTGAATGTAAAAAATGATCAAAACGGTCTCTCGTTTAAATTATTGTGGCAGTCAGAACGAGAGGCGTCTCCATTTTACAAACGATAAGATTTGGTTATGAGATATCATAGACCATTGTTTTTGTGTATTAATTCATATTTACCACGCTGTTCGAGCGAAACAATTGCGAGAGATCCCTGACCGTCCTTAAAGATATTCGGCAAGATTTCGAAATCTTGAGTGCGCACAGCCCGTGTGAGTCTCTCCACGAAGGATCGATACGAATCCATTCTTCACCTCTTCTTCTTCTTTAGATCTATCCAGACATCCTGGCACTGAACTAACTGAACTGCATTCCTCTTCTTGTTTGAAGTATCAGTTACCTGATATGCGCAACTGTTGTTATCACCGGCATGTTATGATAGGTTAGAATATCGCCCGCCGAGTTGACAAATTGAACTAGAGACCTCTCGTAGAGAGTTGTTAGGACTCGGTAGTTTTCTATCGTAATTTTCGCTCTTTTTATTGATAATAGAAGATTTACTTTGCGCGGATGTATAAAAAAAAATATATATATACCTATATGTATACTCCTATGAGTGATCTGGCTACTTGTCTATTTTATTTATTTATTTCCATTTGCATTAGTATCTGCTTTAATATAACTTCTGCATAAATTTTATTTTATTTTGATCCTTTTTTGTTACAAAAGCACTCGCGTGCGTGCATGATATATTATATAATAAAGAGAAGAATTCTGTGTGTTAATCATTATTGAATAAAGAAATTTAAATTTTAAACTCAATTTTGAATCGAAAGAAATGTGTATGATAAGACTTTTAAATGCTTTTAGCGACTTTCATAAAATGGCAAAAAAAGAGACCTAAGCTATGTATATTATGATGTTTTAAATCAATCTGGCATTCGAAGAATTCATGAAACTTGATAGGTGAATTTTTCGAATAAAAGTTATCAAATTAAATGTTTAAATAATGAACAGATTTTGCTCGGTTTCTGCCAACAATCTGCTGGTCAGATTATATCGGCAAAACACGAGTTTAATGCGGACACAGATGATACCGGATCCGTTGCGCCTATCTGAACAAATATCTGCTATCAGCCTAGTTGTCATATATTGCAAAAATATATAGTTTATTAACTTTAGCATAACAGCCAGAAAGTGGATATATTGCAAAAATAAAGAAATACAGCTTTTGTAAAAAAAAAAAAGGGTAGTCAAGTTACCAGTTCAGCCTTTAAGCACCTAAACCATTACCTAGACTTTTTAAGTTAGTAGATGCGTGGATGATATGTGAAGTGGGGGGCTTTGCCCGCACCCACTCACTATTGATGAAATCTCACTATTGCAATCACAATATAGCTTGACGAACGGCGGCATTAACGCCCTTAACTATATTGAACACATGTGGTGCCGGTATTATATTAATACTGTATAATAATACTGTATAATGATATATTTATTAATATTTATTATTACTTATTAATATATTAAATGAACAAGGAAACTGCTCTTTTTTACTCGATTTTTACTGTGCTATGTATCGATTAAAGCAGTATAGTTTGAGGATGATCGAAGATTAAATACAATTATGATCAATACACAAATCGTCGGCAACGACATAGTATTGTGTCCCAATATCTATCTCGAATTTGTGATCAATACCTAATCGATCCAACCACGGTTATCCTCGCACGTGCATTGCTATATATGCCATGTTTATATTTTGCTTGAATTTTATTAGTTCCTATTATAATGAGATTGAGTTAAAGCCAATGTGATGGTAAAAACCGAATAAAGAAACAATTTCCTAATGATTGGGTTAGGTAATAATCAGTCTTATTGAGCTTAGAAATTTAAATGGAAGGTCCAGGTAAAGGTAAACGCTTTTCTGACTAGTATCAGACTACCAGATCCTTAAGGAACAATATTCACAGTCCGAACGTATACTCAAAAGACCGTCCGAATGTCTGGGACAGTCTTTAAGACTATACCATCCCCAGCAAGTAAAATGGACCACACAACATTTCGAGTGTATGACGAGAACGATCTTATGAGTATACAAGATCCGACCATGAGTTAATTCTGCCTTGTAGGATCCAAAGTACCCATCTATGCTTCATCCTCATATAAGAATCATTACAAAACAACCGCTATCGAGAATTAAGAAAACTTTTTGTTAATTTTATTCTTCCGAAATGAAGCTAATAGTGGAATTAAACTAAATAATAAAACCTAGTTAATATTGAAGGATTAATGTTATCCAATTATTTGCAAGATTTTCGACTAAAATATTATAAATTCTAATATAAATGTATAACATAAATTTTGCAATTAACTTAAATAATCGCAAAGGTATAAGGTGATAGGCACCAAGCGGCCGATAATTAAACTAAAGTGTGTGAGTTTGTATAATGTATAACAATCTGATATCGCAACAGAGCAACAGAGGTCTGGTATATTATAATGAATATATAATGATATAATCTGTGTCCGCATTAAGTTTTTTACAGAGGTACAAGTTTTTGCGAGGCGATAGCGATAAAATTTCAAGACCAAAAACTGCAAACGAAACGTAAAGAATATTGAACAAATACATGTACGTATCTAAACACGATATTCGACGTAGCATTTTCTGAAATATTTGACAATTTTTCTTCTCTTCTTTCCAAAAATTTGAATGCAACACCATGAATTTTAGGGTCTCTCTCTGAGTTACCGACGATCGGAATTATCTCTCGAGTTGCAGTTTTGATCCTCGGTAAGGATGGACTTTGCTTCGTTTTTTTTTTGCCCCAGCGAGAAATGCCGGCGTTTCGTAGGTTATTGTTATTCGCGTTTAGCGGCTCGAGAGCACGCGTTGACGAAAGCTACATAAAACGTTGCAATATTTAATTATGTAAAACATCCGAGGCGTTATTAGTCGCGCTTGATTAGCTACGGAACGTACGTTTATTTTATTTTGCAATCACGAAGTTCGTGCGCAAAAAGCTGCACGATTCATTGTTTACACCCGCCCCATCGAGCCTGTTTTCGTGTGAAATAAACTAATCGCCGCGATTGTTACAGCTAGGATGGAGAAATTCTGTCCGTTGTGCGCGAAGAATGGCATTAAGAGAAGAGTGAAGGTATTTCAGGTCAACCTAGAAGAAGCGATGTTCTCCTGCGAGTCGGAGCAAGTAAACAAATCTTTTCTTGTCCCTTTTTTTTTTTTACATACTTTCTTTGCATCCGCATTCACGATTCTTCTCGTATTTCAGTGCGTCTGGCCGATCGGTTACGAGGAATTAAAATTCTTCCCTAGACCAGCCCTCTCCTGCAACTGGGACGAAGAATTGAGTTTCGCCAAAGAGGAGGACATGCCCGCGCTGATGGAGCTTTCGCTCTACACACCACCGGTAACCCCCGGAGGAGAGCTCTCCAAAGAGTTGACCGAGATCGCGAGCACCGAATATTCGCCCAATCCTCCGGCGGAGGATAAAGTTGGAACGTTGCCTCAGTGCGAATACGTTGCCTCAAATGAATCACCGGAATTGGGAAGCATTACGTCCACTGAAGAAGATAGAGGCATTACGAATGAACAGATTGAGGACGTTAATATTTTTAGATTGCTGCCCAAGATCACCAGCATCGAAAAGACTAATATCAATCTTACAATCTTTTCTAATGTCGCGCACAGCGAACATTGCGACGATAGACAAATACAGGAACAGGAGCATTCGCTCATGGACGCGAGCATAATGGATTTTTCCAAGAATTTCGACGTGTCTGACAACGAGTGCACGCAGCTCGATTTAAATACGCGGTGTAAGACCGGAGGCGAAAGTGGCAAGCTGCAATCGGACACTACAGCGAGCGGCGTGGAAGCGAATTTTGACGCGGAGACATTATCGGAACCTATGAAAACGCTAATCGATATAAATATTACAAATAGCGCAGGTGCAACGAACGAAGTGAATAAATGTAATAGTGACCTAGACGCGTTATTAGAAGACATTTTGAACAATGAAAGCCAGCCTGTAGATATGTGCCAGCCTGATGATCCAGATGATTGGTTAAAAAGTTTGTTAATGAACTGACGACCGTAACATTACATTTATCGTTATTCGAATGCATTAGATTGTATTGCTTAGATTATATTAAACAGAGACTGAAAGACATGACAAAAGGGATCAGATTGTAAATTGCAACTGATCTCTCTATGAATTGTGATAATAGAATAACATTCAATTGTATTAAAGCATTGCTTTAAAAAAAAAATACAAGAATATCCTGTTTTAAGAAACAGGATATTTTGTTATTACATTTATATCTTTTTTTATACCTCTTATTTATACCTTTTTGATTGTGCTTTTAACAACGTAATGATCAATCTGCTTGTACCAAAACTTTTGAATATTTACAGGAAATTATTTCAGCTTTGAAGAATGGAAGAAAACCGGTCAGGGGTGTCATAATTTTACTTGATCTCAAGATATATATACAATCTCAAATTTTAAATAAGAAAAAGAATGTATACTATTGCTTTACTAAATAATTGATATTTGTGCGCATCTTATTTTATTTTAAAATTAAGTATGCCGCGACGCTTCACGCTTGGTTTCTAACATTTCATTATTTCAATTCGATTTCGCTGAAGTATCTTAACTGCTCTTTGAAAACATATTTATTTATAATAAACTTTTCCTGAAAAAGAAAGTTATCTCGGTCTTTTTAAACACGGCGGTTAACTTGGGTGAATTTGGAACTAGCTGACTGCTAACTTCGATACAAAAGGAAACGTCGCACGATTGGTTAGCAAACGGAGAAACTTTCGGGGAACTTTGCGAAAATCTCTACTCGATGGCCAATCGCGCGTGATTTGGCGGCGTGCCTCTGCTGCTCCCCCTCGCCTCAACCGCCATCTTTTCCCAATTAGCGCGTTGCCGCGTTTTGTGTTGTAACCTCGTCGATCTCGTCAGTAGAAAACAACACATGTCCGATTCGTTATTGCGCATCTGCCGTTCGGAGAGAGTGGTTTGCACGATTTTCCGGGACCATCGTTCGTCGTTAGATTAAATCGAATAAGGCTCTCGGACAATTCCTCAGGATGGATTTCCTAGAATATCCGGACATCTTCGCCGAGGTTAAGGGCGCTATGGTAAGAGTCCTCGTCGGCTTTCAAAACAATTTAAATAATGTCGCGCACGTGATTTAAAAGCGAAACACCATGTTTCTGAATTACCTATTTTGAGTTCGAACGGCAATCTGTCTTCCAATTGCGCGAACTTTGCCCAATATCTTCAATCGTTCAGCTTCGATTTCAGCTTTGCTAAAAATACGCTTTGAAGATGATGGAATTTTCTAGTGTACGGATAATTATGTGAGAATCTCTCGAGTGATTTATATATAATCGACGAATCGTTTTCTATTGTTGCTAGACGCCGGGCAGGCTGAAGTTAACCGATCAGCACTTGATCTTCAAGAATCAAAAGACGGGAAAGGTTGAACAGATCTCCGCCTCCGATATGGAGATGGTGAACTACCAGAAGTTCATTGGGACCTGGGGCTTGCGTATCTTTCTGAAAAATGGCACTCTGCATCGCTTCAAAGGCTTCAAGGAGGCCGATCAGGAGAAGATCGCCAAGTTCTTCTCCGTCAATTACAAGAAGGACATGTTGGAGAAGGAGCTGAGTTTGAAGGGCTGGAACTGGGGCACCGCAAAGTTCAACGGATCTGTCTTGAGCTTCGACGTCGGTCATCACACCGCTTTCGAAATACCCTTGTACGACGTGTCGCAGTGTAACACGGGAAAGAACGAGGTGACATTAGAGTTCCATCAGAACGACGACGCTCCGGTCAGTCTGATGGAGATGAGGTTTCACATTCCCGTTAGCGACAGCGCCGATCAAGATCCCGTCGAGGCGTTCCATCAACAGGTGAGAAAGGATTTAGACTGTACATATGCACGTGAATATATTTGCAGACCTAAAACCGAAAACAGAAGACTAATACATTTCTCGATTACGACAGGTGATGGATAAGGCATCCGTGATCAGTGTGAGCGGCGACGCGATTGCTATATTCAGGGAGATTCATTGTCTAACGCCGCGTGGTCGTTACGACATCAAGATATTCCAGTCCTTCTTTCAACTGCACGGCAAAACCTTCGACTACAAAATACCCATGTCCACTGTATTGAGACTCTTTTTACTTCCGCACAAGGATAATCGGCAAATGTTTTTTGTCGTGAGCTTAGATCCGCCTATTAAACAAGGCCAAACGCGCTATCACTATTTAGTACTCCTCTTCAATCAGGAAGAGGAAACTTCAATTGAATTACCGTTTACTGAAAAGGAATTGAAGGAAAAGTATGAAGATAAGCTGACTAAAGAATTATCGGGACCCACGTACGAAGTGCTCGGCAAGGTTAGTAAAAAAAATAAAGAGAAAGAAAACTTTTAGTGTTTATATTTTTATCTTTATGCGAAAATTATTTGTTTACAGGTGATGAAGGTGATCATTAATCGAAAGTTGACTGGCCCTGGGCATTTCACTGGTCACACTGGGACACCCGCCATTAGTTGCTCTTTTAAAGCTGCGGCAGGATATCTATATCCGCTCGAGCGAGGTTTTATTTATGTGCACAAACCTCCGATACATATCCGTTTCGAAGAGATAGCCTCAGTAAACTTTGCGCGTGGTGGCGGATCGACTAGATCTTTTGACTTTGAAATCGAGCTTACGAGCGGAGTGGTGCACACATTTAGCAGCATTGAGAAGGAAGAATATGGTAAACTGTTCGACTTTATCACAGCAAAGAAATTGCGTGTCAAAAATCGCGGCAAGAGCGACAAACTCAATTACGACGAGGACTTCGGCGACAGCGATCAGGAGGACGAACCGGACGCTTACTTGGCGCGAGTCAAGGCGGAGGCACAGGAACGCGACGGCGAGGAGAATCAAGATTCTGAGGAAGGCTCGACCGATGAGGACTTTAATCCGAATCAAGATGAAAGCGATGTCGCCGAGGAATATGACAGTAATCCTAATAGCTCTGAGAGCGAGGATTCAGACGCATCTGCAGCCAGTCACAAAAAGGAGAAGAAAGAGAAGAAGGAGAAGAAATCCAAGTCAGCAAAAACGGTGTCGGAGAAGCCGCGAAAGCAGAGGAAGCCGAAGAAGGAGAGGGACGCGAACAAACCGAAGAGGCCTCCGACGGCGTTCATGCTGTGGCTGAACAGCGCACGCGACGGTATCAAGGCGGACAATCCGGGAATAGGCGTGACGGAAATTGCGAAAAAGGGAGGCGAGATGTGGCGAGAGCTTAAGGACAAATCTGAATGGGAGGCAAAGGCGGCCAAGGCTAAGAAGGAATATGCGGTATCGATGAAAGAATACGAAGAGAGCGGGGGCGGTAAAACTAAAGATAAAGATAAAGAAAAGAAGACAGAGAAGAAGAAGAAGGAGATTAAGAAAGAGTCGCCTAGCAAGCTAATGAGTGGTACCTCTTTCAAGAGCAAAGAGTATATTAGCGACGACGATAGTAGTAGCGATGAGAGCAAGAAGTCCGAAAAGAAGCGTTCCGACAACGAAAGCGAAGACGAGAAGGATAAGAAGAAAAAACCTGAGAAGAGGTCGGCGGAGAATCCTGGAAAGAAAACGGCGAAAAAGAGAAAACACGATCAGTCGGATGAAAGCGATGCGGAAGAACCCATAGAGAGTACTCCATCCTCGTCTGACGCGGAATCCAAAAACAGTGATTAATAAATACTACAGGAATTCAAAAGGTCTCTTCTTCGTCAATTTATATAACGAAAATAAATTGCATTTTTATATTTAAAACGGACTAATATTAGAAAGTTATAAGATCTGAATGCTGTGAAAACAAATAACAACTTATTGCCGTCGTTGAATATTTTTGCTCTGCTTTTTTTTTTCTTTGAGCAAACGTATTTCTTTCTCTCTTGTTCCAACGAAGAGACATGTAAAAGTCCTTTAGCTATATATTTACTAGCTCTGTAAATTTATTTATTTTACGTTATCCAGTTACTATTTCATTTACAACAATTGAAGTAATTTTATACAGGTTTTGTCTGCACAAAGTGTAGGTCTTTGAAGAAAAATCCAAGATGTCATATAATAAAGAATGCTAAAATTACAGAACCAATTAAATTTGCTATTAATGACATGTATATATTACGTATAGATAATACATAGACATTATATGTACATAGTTTCTCTTGTTACAACAATTAAAATGTTTTAATGTCACTTGTGTGTAGAATGTTCGGCAACAATAGTGCAGCGGCTAGTTGACAACATTTAACTATCAATTAACTATAGTTCAGTTAATTTTAACTGTTCATCATAAGAAGTAGGAACGACGTCCAAAGTTGCACTGTTTGCGTTGCCGATTGTCCGTGAAAAAGCTGCGTAGCTACCCAGATGTGAACGTGCAAACGTCTTTATGTCAACTGTGTGGCGGCTTCTCCTTCTCGGTTTCCAAATAATTCGTTTCCATATCTTTCAGTTCAATATGGTGCTCCTTCATGGCTTTCTAAAACACGAAAGCGCAGAATTACTGACGTCGCTGGCCCCTTCACTCAAAGGTTTTTTTTTTAATAAAATGTGTTTCTCCGAACGATATCGGCAGCTGATCGCGATCTGACCCCCCCGCGGAGAAGGGAGAGCCTCACAGAACTTACCGCTACGCAATCTTTATAGACTTTAAGCAAGGGAGCGCACATCGAATCGTTGGTATCCCCCTTTAAAAAGTTTTCGGAGAACCAACTGTTGAAACAGGCGTCGTACTTCTGTTTCAACTCACTGCAAGCCTCCATGTTGCCACCCTCGCTATTTTACACCCTCGCTCTCTCTCTCCCCCTTTTCATGCGTTATACACTTGTGGATTTCCTAAGGATTACAATCCCGCTTTAATTACCTTGACACACTGCTGATACATTTTGAATAAGTGCGAGCATGTGCTGTCACTCGTGTCACCTTTCAAGAATTTCTCGGAGAACCACGTGTGAAAGCAGGCGTCGTACTGTTGCTTCAGATCGTTGCATGCCTCGCCTATGCTGTTCATGAATTAGCGTCCGTTACGATTCTGAAATCAAGTATTCAAGTCAGATTCGTCGTCTGTTCAACGAGGAATTCAACAAAGAATTTAATAAGTGACGACGAGCAAGAGGCGACGGTGAAGGTCGCGGGCGCGGGGAGCGCCCTAACCTAAAAATCGCGGCAACGGAGTTTACCGTAGTTCGGCGGCACTCACCTGCAGCGGCGAATTGCAGCGCGAGGACAACTGAAGGTACCTGGACCTCAACGACAGAGAAGAAACTTCCGAATCGTGCCGACTGTCGGCGATATGACGTCGATCAGATAACCTGTTATCGCACTCTCATCATAGAATCCAGAGCCCAGAGCAGGGACGATGAATCCGCACAACTCGCGACAAATCGGGCTCGTCGCACGCAATAACGTGGCCTTTTTACGTTAGGTTTGTCCCACACAACTCAACTTTTTGTTACAGAACAGACCTGTAGTTTGGCAAGCCTGTGTTTCTGATCTAATTTATAATCTAGTCATCAGTCATTCGAAAAGGTAAATATTTTCGGATAATTGATAATAAATTGATAGTGTAAGCGTGAAAATATATTTTTCTCGTTGCTTACTGTTTAAAATATATGCTTGGAATGTCACACAAAATAATTTTTGCGTAAAGGAGCTGATAATTTCTATTTTCACAGGTTATTGTTAAATTTCTCTCTCTTATATAAAATTAATTATTATATCTCTCTTATATAAAGTTAATTGTTATTTCCCTTACGTAAAGAGAAAATTTACATATCTTACATAAAAGGAAAAGCCATTGTTTAGCGTTGAAATTTATTTAGTTTTTTAACCATAAAATCTGGATTACAGTCTTGATTTGAATTCTGAAATTTATAGTTATATGTTTCTGATATTATACCTGATATTATACCTGAACTGTGAGCTGTTGGGTAGCTTTATTAATTTTTAATGTTAAAGACCATTAAATAACGCTGTGACTGATCCTAGTGGATATCTTACAAAATATTTGAATGTAACAATTTGTTTCCCAAAACCTTACATTATTATCCGCTTGTAGTTGAAACATGAATCTGCGAGAACCGAAGAAGAAAAGGACGAGATTGAGGCCACAATTGCCATTTCCCATCCCACTGAACGAAACGCAGGAATGGCCAGTGTACACGGCGCATCTCACAGATGTAGGATCGTGTATAGTTGAACCTGAAGAGATGACTGCGGTGCATTCAATGGTAAAGATAAATTTTTGATCGGCGTAACCTTTCCTACGAACAACAGAATGAATATCTCTGTCTGTAGGGGTTTTTTGGCAAGGGGTCGTTGTCGCGCAGTTATCCATCGTTTGGCAAAGCAAGGTACGGGGCACCGCCGGTTGTTCGAAACAGACAGTGGCTTTGCAGACAAAAATGGCTCGAGGAAGTCAAAGAATTGAACGCTACCGATTACAAAGGTGTGTGATAAAAACACATTCCATGTATCTCGCTACAAAGTATTAATGAACGAAGATAGCATCTTATAAAATTGAAACATTCAATTAACATTGTAATTGAAATGTAAAAAGAATAGTGAAAGTTTATCAAAATATTTCTTGGAAAGAGTTTATTAAAATTCAGTGAAAATGTTATATGTAATTCTAGATGCTAAAGCAACCGCTCAATGCGAGGGAGGAAACATCTCCTATGAAGAGAACATTGGCGACGTCGTCGAGATTCCTTCCAATTCTATCGAAAACGGGAGTAAGCAAAGAAATGAGACGAACGCGAAGAATATCGAGATCGATGAAGTCACTCTAGATTCCGCGGAGGAGGACGATATATGCGTAATTATCAATAGGGACCCGGATAAATATGATAATGCTGAAGGTTCACCAAACACTCACGATGACAAAAACAATTCCGAAGAGAAAAAAGAAGAAGAAGAACCGTGGAAATTGAATTGTTACGACTTCAAAAGCGACTGCATGAACGAGGATGACAATCAGCATGGAAAACTCTTGGTGTTGCCAGATAGCGACTCGGACACCGAGAATTATTTGAAAAATATTAAACCGAGAATCGAGAACGAGGGTTTCCCCGTTCGAGAGGCCCTGCATCTCACATTCGAAGAGACCTTTTTTCTCCTTTTTGGATTAGGTTGCCTGCAAGTGATCCACTTCGACGGTAGTCTGCTGGATATCAACAGAGCATGGCTGTACTTTTGCAAGGAGAAGCCAGACTTTTTACAGAAATATGTAGTTTATCATTATTACAGGAGCAAAGGTTGGGTGGTCAAGCCCGGTATAAAATACGGTGGCGAATTTTGTTAGTATTCATTACTTTTACTCTTACATCGTTATCCTTTTAAATTTATTTTTATATTGTTAATATTTTATCTGAAATACTCGTAAATGTTTCAGTGCTTTATAAAGAGGGACCACCTTTTTATCATGCATCTTACATCGTTATAATAGAAGTAGCAGACGCGGACTCTTTAGTTGTAGATCCTACCATGTCCTCGCGATCTATGACTTGGAACAATTTATTTGGATTTGAAAGGCTGTCCGAGACGGCTGCTAAGGTAAACGTGCATCAACTTATTAAATACGATAGACGTAACGGATTTAGAGAGAACCGTTTACATTCTAATTCAATGCGGAATAAATAATTTGTTTTGTTCGCGAATAATAGGAAATACTTTTGGCGCAAGTTTTATGGCCGTCGTCGGTACCTCGGGATATCAGCGAAACTAGTCCCGAAATACTTTCCGAATTCACTGTGAGGGAAGTACTCTGGCGTCGATGGAATCCAAAACAGCATCGGGAAGACGTTCCCACCGAAGAGGAGGACGATTACTCGTGCTGAAGGATTTTCTAATTGTTTACATACCTTATCTTTGAAATCTTTCTTACAATAATTGCGCAGTAAGTTATTTTATATATAAATTGTTTATTTTATTAATACTACATATGCCTGTACTTGGAACAATTTGTTTGGATTTGAAAGGCTGTCCGAGACGGCTGCTAAGGTAAACGTGCATCTACTTATTAAATACGATAGATGTAACAGATTTAGAGAGAACCGTATAATTGTTTTTATTAATAAGCTGTATATTTTGCATTAAAACATAGTTTGTCACACGTTTCGACATAAAAAAATAAAACTATTTTTTTATACAAATTATTGCAATAATTGTGTAATACTACTGCCATAATATGCAGTAATATCATATGTGTAACATTTCGATGTACAAGAATTGTGTAACATATAACATCTAAAATTAATTACACGGATTATTTTGGTATCAATGTTCAAGTATCTCGGAGTATCACAAAAATGAGAAATTCAGTACTAAGGAAATATCAAGTTTGTGAAATATTTTAATGTCATTGTACACAATACATGTATATGTGATATCAATCGTAGCGTAACGGAATACTATGAAATCTTGATGGACTCCACGCGAAGCACTCCGAGTACTCGGCGCGACGTTAAGCCGAATCGAATCCGTGTCTTTATCAGCGATCGGCGATCCGCGCGGCGGTATCGTTTGCGGTACTCGCCAAGTGAAAGCAAGCTGCAATCGTGCCGGGCCCCCGCAACACGGTCCCGGGGCCCGTGCAGTCAGTCCGAGGTGAGCTGAGAGCTGGCATGCCGAGTGCCGTGCACCGCGAGTTGTCAGCGTGTTGAGCATCTCCAAATCAAGCACGGGATAATTGCGTTTCGCGCGATCCGGTACGTAAAGAATAGACGGACGTTCCACTCCGTTATTCCTGTCAAACCCCCCGTGTCGCGTGGCGGGATAACTCTCTATCACGTCTCTGTGCCTGTGTCATTCAACATTTATATATTTATTCGTATTTTTAGCTCAAGATATATATATGAAGCAATAATTATATTTAAACTTTATAATAAGAGAGTTTAATAATATCTTCTTTATACATACATATATATTTTTCTATATTGCACAAGAGAATCTTAAATTATCTTAATTACGTAAATTATTTTATTTACGTTCTCTTCCTGTACAGAGTTTCGGTCTATAATTTTTTAGACTTTCAAGCCTACAAAATTTTTAATCAATCTAATTTATATATGAAAATATTTTTATCGCTGTTTTTTAAATCTGATAAATCTAAAATAAAGTAGTTTTATTGTTTCTACTAATATCAGTTAAAAGTTAATATTGGCACTTAGATGATTCTGCGCTTCTTTTTAATCGTGTTTGTAAGAAGAGGCAGGTAATCAATTAAATTCAATTGTTAATGGAAGCAGCTTCAAGGCGAATATCTCGCGGAGGCGTTGAGAGGCGCTTGAAACAATTCGCATTATTTATTAAGCGGAATTGAAAAGCGACACCAGTTTCAAATGCGAAATTGTGGACTAAGATTGATTTAAATTTCACACCCAGGAAATGTAATCCGGAAATGATCAATTAGACCGAAGCGAGTCTTGCGAAATTTGAATCTCAAGGACATTGGGCTTCGATTCGCGTTTCTTTTTGTTAATCGGAATCTGGCAGAAATTTTACCCAAAAAATAAATTTAAAATACTTTTCGGAATACACGTGCGCATGTCCCGCGTACACAGATCCCATTCTTTGGCTCGCGAAAGATGTTCGAGTTACGCGCGACTATCAAGGCAACTGATGAATAAAGAATCGTGTCACTTTCATGTAAGCTGAATACGAGAGAAAGCGCGCGAGAGAGTATTCGTCCGTATCTACGCTTAATTTGTAGGAGAAGATGATGCGACGAAATTTTCCAACTAGAGAAGCGAAGAAGGACACCAAATCGAACTTAATTCTGTCGCGAACTTTCGACGCTAGAAGAGATCGGACTTTTAAGGCGAGTGTTTCGATCCACTTTTTCTTTAAGAACTCTGAAACGTCCGTTCAAAATAATAAAAAAAAATCTTTTAAAAAATTCTCATTTATTAATAATAAAAAAATTAATTCAAATTAAAAAAGCGATTAGCGAGAGAATAATACACGATAATTTGTTTCATTTCTTGATGTCTAAAAAATTCGTAGTCTCATAAATTTCGATATCCTATATGTACATAATTCAGAATTTTTATTAAATTATGTTAAAACTTTATTATCGCGACAGTCGCTCTGATGAATTTCTAATATTATAATCGTGACTCAATTTATCTGGAATCCGTAGAAAAAAAAGAAGACCCAATACACAGCAACAGGCGGAAGGATTTATCAAGAGTTCCCCGTTTTATGGGTAAAAACAACATTAAACAAAGTGACATTTCTAAAATATGGCCCCCGGATTAAAGTTTGCCGGCAAAAAGAGGACCGGCGGCGGATATTGTGCGGGGCACACGCGTGGATCGCAGAAATATTTCTTACGAACGATCGCGCGCGCCGTAAACGGACTAGTGAATGTCATCCTCGTCTCACGATACGCCTGATGGGAATTTAGTCGCATCCGAGACGGCCGAGATGCAACAAACAAAGCTTGCTACCGAAGTGAGATTTTTGAGCGAGTCACTTTTGACCTTTAATTCAAAATACGAGACGGATCGACTGGCTACTCGAGAAAGAGAGACCATGTCACGAACTGCTTTAAGATTATATGCTTTAATTACACGACAATATATTTTATATCATTATGCACGTCGCATCCACGACATTCGTTAATTCTTTAGGACTCGAGACATTTAAAAAGGGGGCTTTGTTCTTAAAGAAAATACACATTGAGCAATGTTTATTGAAGAATGTTCATTAATAAATTGTCCAATTATTAATTATCATTGTTTGTTGTTAATTGTTGAGAAAGATAATTAATAATTAGGATAATAATTAAAAATAATTAAGATATATATTTAATAATCCTCTCAGCTCTGTTGAAGCTGTTACTGCCACTCGCTTGACGCATTCCCAAATAACACATGATGGTTTCTTATATATTTTCTATACACAGTTATAAAACACTAGATACGTTTAGGAAACATGTAGGTAATAGAAAACATGTATGATCCATCACGTCCGTCACGTGCTACCTGGATAGTATAGTATCGCGCTTGACTATCGCCTTGCATAATCGAGATGTGACCTCGACGAGGAAGACAGTGGACACCGTCTATATCTTGTTAGCTGTAAAGCTGAGCGAGATTCAAGTGAAAGTGTACAACCGTTTGCACCGTCTATACGTTCCCTACGGCATCCTTGCGCCGAGTTACTCTCCTGGTCGTAATTGGGATATCGCTTATATTACGTTGCGTTACATTACGTGCGCGGTACACCTGATTTCGCGGTATATGCGCGAAAAAGCGGGAGTCACACCATCTCGATTAGCATATTTATGAACAAAGTCACTTTCACTCAAATCTGATAAGCGAACCTCGAAGGCACTGCTCTAGCTTTCAGAATCGTAACGCTCGGGAAACATTTTTTTTAAATATGTACAAAATATGTCCATACATATTTTCTTTTTCTTGTATACAAGAAAAATTATTTCTAAACATGACAAACAACTGATATAAATTATTATTTACAGATGCAATCATAGATGTATAAAAGTGACGTGAGATTTAAGAAGAAAGTGGCAAGACTTCCGATTTTGAGCTGTCGCTTCCGAGCAAAACAAATTTCGATTAAATCCAAATGTATAACTCCGTTCGCAATTATAACTCCGACGAGAAGTGGACTCTTTAATCGTTAAGTACGCAGCTTTGCATAAATGCAAAACGACGTTCCGTGTACTCTCTCTCTTATGAAGTTTGAACTGAAAACGCCCTGTTTTGCACATCTCTAAAGGACCTTCTCTGGCCTTTCCGATCTATTTTCCTTTCTGGATGGAAAAGCTCTCCTGCCCTTCCCTTGAGAGGTAATATTTTTTTTTGGATTTCTTAAGCAGTTGTTATTTAAAAAATACTCACGATGCTCTGAAAAATTGCGCGTTTAAGGGTTAAATCTTATATATTTTTCACTCTAGATTATCTTGACGCATTAATTTTCAATCCAATTTTTACAGTTCACTCGCTTCCGTCTGCGAATCTCGACGCGTTACAAAAAAGTTTGCGAGACTCGGACTCGCGGTCGCTTTCCGACGTCATTCTTTCGGCGCGCCGAGCAGCTTGATCACGGTGATCGTTTCCATTAGGGGGCCGGCGATGGGGAGCGATTGCTAAACGGACATTCCTGAGAAACTTTAAGCTTTGCTTTCTAAGCGAGGTTCCCGGTCACGTGCGGCCAGGCCCGGTCCGCGGCGGGTATTTCTGTTCCGACACGTGCGGCATGTCGCCCGCGCTCGTGATCTTACATGCGGGGTCCTTTACGCGCGTGACGGCGCGCGGCGTGGCTTTGCGAGGGCACACGTTCACTGCTCCCGTTTTTGCACGCATATATGCCTCGATACACTTTTACCGCAGCCTCGATCTGACACGCAGTCCTGTGCGATAATGCGAACCGTGTGATTACCGCGAAGGGCGTAATTACGGAACGGAGGAACTGTCGCAATCGCCCATTGACCCTGAACGTCGCGCGGATTTTTTTCCTTTTTAATTAGAACGGATGAAGTCGGATCTAATCGAAGCTTGATCTTGTTTGGATCACCGTTCGTCATAACTGTCATAAGTCTTACCACCTTTTCTTCTAGCGAATTCGGTTGGACGCACTAGTGCGCACTGGTGCACATTAAAGCCGTCGTACACAAATTAACGTAAAGTGTTTAATATAAACGGGTTAAATCACGAAATCCTCAATATTTTTTATTGTTCTACTTGATAAATATGTATTAGGTATTTTATCAGTCGCGATATTTGCATTTTACTTTAAGATTAGAGATTGCATCAGTATACAACGGTTTTAAAAGGCACCAGTGCGCACTATAGTGCATCCAACTGAATTCATTATTAATTTTACTGCTGCTTTATTGCATGCTTATGTAACTTACGTAATTTTGTTTATTTTTAAGTTGTGTAAACCTAAAGGAGGCCTAGAATTTACCAGTTTAGAGTCATATTTCTAATTGATTTATATATTAAGTTTTTTATAACAAAAGGAAAGGAGAAAGCTAAAGAGATATCATTTATAATTCTAGATCTATCAATTTTATCTCACAATCAGATTGAGTGACATTTAATTCGATCGCGCAATTTACGATTCTATATCTTGTTTTATGTTCGATGGAAACCCCGCAATTTTACAATTCGTTACTTCTCTATTTACAACGCTCTTTCGTCTCGAACGAGACTCGATCGTTGCGCGGTAAGCGTAATTACGTGCTGGCAGCTTGCGCGTTTTCAACACGATGCTCTCGCGGGAACGGGTGCATTTTTATGCCCCCTTAATTCAGTTGCATTACGTGTGCACTTGCGCCGGTGGAAAGTTAAAATAAAACACGCGGAACACCACGCGCGCACGTGCGCGCGCGCGCGCTGAGGGCTTCCGAGTGAAATCGCGGGGGCTTCCGCTTCCGACTCGATCTTGCCGCGCGTATCGTCACTTAGATCCACCTAGATCCGCGAACTGGGGAAAGAAATCGGAATCTGGGTCGATCGGCCGCGATCAGGAAGCAATTAAGGAATAGTCAGCAACCGCCGTTTGCCATAAACGACAGAGAAATTTACACATGTTGCTAAATCGCGTCCGACTATCTCAGCAAGCATTTTTCTTTCTTTCTGTCGTCCGACGTTCGCGGGATATCTCGCTGATAAATTAATAATAAGTTTCGTATAAACTATCGGAATATACGGAACGTACTCTCTCATTGATCGTA